TGGCTGCTGTTGCTGTGCTGGCTCGGCAGAAAGGGCTCGAGGTGAGTGGTAATCGATGCGGTTAAGTGGGGGGATTTGAGGTTGAGCGGGGGCGCGTAAGGGTTGAATGGAGGCGGGTGGGAGGGAGAGGGGTGAATGGGCTTGAGTGAGTGGGATGAGTTGGGGATGAGTTGGGGATGAGTTGGGGATGAGTTGGGGATGAGTTGGGGATGAGTTGGGGATGAGTGGGGGTGAGTTTGGGTTCCAGTGGGGGTAAGTGGGTGTGAATGGGATGAAACCCATAGACATTAGTGGGGATGGCACAGTGCAGCATTCCTCCTTTCGACACCCTTGCCCCTCTCCCCCTCTCCACCTCCTTCTCCTCCTGTTTGTGTGTCCGAGGCCAGAAGACTCCTTCTCTTCCCCTCCCATACGGTGCCTAATGGAAACCCTCTCCTTCAACGCGTGTGCGTGCGGGTAATGAACTCCCTCTCGGTGTGTGCAGCTGGAGGTCTATTTTTGAGTCGACTAAAAAAAAAACCCTCTCCTTCAACGCGTGTGCATGCGGGTAATGAACTCCCTCTCGGTGTGTGCAGCTGGAGGTCTATTTTTGAGTCGACTAAAAAATAAACCCTCTCCTTCAACGCGTGTGCGTGCGGGTAATGAACTCCCTCTCGGTGTGTGCAGCTAGAGGTTGAGATGGATGGCGCTGTGCCTCGCTGCATCGTGGGTGACCCCTCGCGCTTGCGCCAAGTGCTGCTCAATCTGCTCTCCAATGCCATCAAGTTCACCCACCAGTCAGTGCTCCCTCTTTTCCTCCCTCCTCTCATCCCTTCTCGCCCTCCTTCGCTCCTCTCATCTCCTCCTCCCTCCTTCCCTCGTGAACCCTCTCAACCTGCTCTCCAATGCCATCAAGTTCACCCACCAGTCAGTGCTCTCTCCCTCCCTCCTCTCATTCCCTCTCTCCCTCCTCTCCTGGCATCTCCTCTCTCCTCGCAATTCCGTCTCTCCTCCCCTCTTCTCATCCCTTGTCTGCTTAAACTCTCTTTTTCCTCTCCCACGCCATCAAGTTCACCCAATCGCTCATACACACAAAAAAACGCCCCCTAATCCTGTTACCCTTTTGCCTCACCCAACAATGTTCAGGGGTTTTGTGAAGCTCCGGATTTTCACATCAAGCGTCCCAACAGAGGAGGACTCAAAGGCCCATGCATCAGCGGCAGCAGCAGCAACAACACCTTGCGTCGAGGCGCCTCAGAGCTCAACAGGGGGCACACCAGGTTCATCAGCAGCAGAGGAAGCGGCAGAGGCAGCAGCAGAGGAAGCGGCAGAGGAAGCGGCAGAGGAAGCGGCAGAGGAAGCGGCAGAGGAAGCGGCAGAGGAAGCGGCAGAGGAACTGCAGGGGGGAGACGTGATGCCATTGCAGAAATTTGGCTGTAGAAATGGTTGGGGGAAACGCAAGAGGGTGGGCTGCTGCAGTGAGGGGGAAGACTGCTGCACGAACGCAGGTGCGGCAGGAGAAGTGGCAGAGAGGACCAGTGGGGGGGATGGTGGTTGCACGGTTCTGAAGCGCAGCAGAAGGAGTTGTGCTGGTGGGCCGGCAGGAGGTATTTACAAGGAGCAGGCGAGAGTGGAACCAGAGGGGAAGAGGCAGGCAGAGGCAGGGATGCAAGTAACGTCCGGAGAGCCTGAGATTCGGAAAAGTGATGAAGGGTGCATATCAGGAGAAGTGGCAGTGGCCATGGGAGGAACAGAGACAACAGAGGCAACAGCAGCATGTGGGAAGAGTGACTCAAAAGAAGAGGAGGAGGAGGAGGTGACTGTGCACTTTGAGGTTATTGATTCAGGCATCGGCATTCCTCCAGCCTTGCTCCCGCGCCTCTTCCAGCCGTTCATGCAGGCAGATGAATCCACGAGTCGCAGGTACGGTGGCACTGGGCTCGGCCTCGCCATCTGCCACTCGCTCGTCACGCTCATGGGCGGCACCATCCACGTGTCCTCAGTGGCCAGTCCAAAGCCTGCCGACCATGTGCCTGTGGCTGGATCCGCGGGTGATGCGAATGCAGGCAGCAGGAACCCCAAGAGTCCCACCAGCACAATCACTCCCACCAGCCCCACCACCCTCACCAGTCCCACCAGTGCCCTAGCTGCTGATCCAACTGCATGTCCGACAGCAGTGGTTGGGGCTGCTGGTTCCTATATCAAGCAAGCTACTGATGCTCCTCCAAGGCATGGCACCACGTTCCAGTTCTCGCTGCCCTTCAAAGTGGTCAGGGCAACTTCTGAACCTTCCAGCATAGATGCCTTAGACCGGCTGGTTGATCCCTGTGCTGCTGCTGCTGCTGCTTTTGCTCCTGCTGTTCCCGGTGCGGCGCCTGCTCCTGCTGCAACTGCTGCTGCTGCTGCTCTGAGTCCACGCTCCTGGTCAGTGCAAGAAAGCTTGCGTTTGGTGGGAGAGGGGTTGGATCATGTGGCCGAAGCAGAGCAAGAGGTGCAGCCCTCAAAGGGAGAATTGCAGGGGCAGGGGAAGCAGCAGATAAATGCCAAGGAGGAAGCCGGACAGAAGAAGGACACAGTGGCTCAGCAATGGAGGATGCAGGATCCGCTGCGAATAGATCGAAACCAGAAGCATGTTCATGTGCCTTCTACTAACGAGCATGCTTCAGATGCTCCTGTACTATCGGCGAAGGCACCAGGTGGATTGAAATCGCCTCCCCGATCACCATCAGTGTCATTTCCGGGAGTGCGGTGTCTAGTGGTGGAGGACAATGCAGTGAACCGCATGGTGGTGGTGCGTCTGCTGCGCAGCCTGCAAGTGACCAGTGACGTGGCTGAGAATGGCGTGCTTGCCGTGCAGGCATGCCGCGATAAGGAGTACGATCTTGTGCTCATGGTAAGCAACCGCTTGATACGAATCGCCTAGTCATTTGGTATGTAGATTCCCCCTTGAGCTATGTTGTACGAAGGGCATCGCTTGACCTTATCCCTGTCTAATCGCCTGGCTCTTTTTCTTTCTTGCAGGATGTTCACATGCCCGAAATGGACGGCTTTGAAGCCACCTACAACATCCGGGCTCTCGATGCAGAACGGCGAGGTATCACTCGTGACAATGGCAGCATAGGTTGCCACCAACAGAGCGAATGTGCAGACAGGTCAAGGCCCATAACTCATTGTGAGCACTATTTCACAAACGTGCTTCCCGAGGGCAGACCAATTATTGTTGCACTGACTGCCAGTGCATTGAAACATGAGCGTGAGAAGTGTGAAAATGTGGGAATGGATGGCTTCTTGACCAAGCCGGTGCGGTTGCAGGACCTTGTCTCGGTGCTTAGGCCACTCCATCTGAGAACAACATAGCATGCCAGTATAGCAAATTATGGGTTGATCTAGTGAAAAGCAGCTGGTGTCCCTTTGAGCCTAGATTGCTTTAACAGTGTGTGTGTGTTGTTGAGCCTGACCAGCACGGTGGAAACTCACTGCTTGTTAGTAACACTCTAGCAAAGTGAAACACGGATTTCTAAACTAATGGAGGCTATGTATCAGCACTACCTGATGGGGCTCACCAAACCCCACTGAGAAGCTACCGGAATTACCGTAACCTCGATTCAGATGCAAGAGCCCAGTATGAGTCAAGGGCTGCTGCAGAACTCCTGCATAGGGGAGAGCCCCTATCCTCCAGGATCTCTTAGAACTATAAACGGGGAAAACAGGCATGCTGCTGCATTAACGGGCACTCCCTATTTAGGGTTTCGAAGGACAATGATGACGGAGTCCCCCCGCAGAAACATTTTGCTGATGAACCGATCTTTATTCACTGGCTTGGCTTTCTTCTTCCCCTTCCCAGTTTTTGGAACCTGAGAAAGGCAGGAAGCGTGAGGGAGATCAGCAAGAGATACCGTGTCAGTGCTCAACAGGCACTAATAAAGTGGAATTCAAATTTGAAATTGAAAAACAGAAGTTGACATTGAGACGGGAACAGAGACTGAAGAGGGCTTACCTCTGTCCACATCTCCTTCACGTTCTCCAATACCATGTTGCAGTGCCGGTCGAAGGCCTTCACTCTTCCAAGCAATTTCCTGTTGTTTCTGCAGTTGATCAATACCTGTTCGAAACAAAAGAAGGCACGACGAGACGTCAGGACTTCCATCTCATAAACAAACGACGCCTCTGCGACTAAATCCCGGAAGAAAAAAAACCCCTATTTGATCGAACCTGTGTATTCTGCTTGACACTCATCGTGAGCACGGATAACGGTCCTGTGCTGAATTCTTCTTCTTCCTTCTTCTCCGCCTGTACGAACGAATCGACATGATGGTCATGGAAGTGAGAAAGCCATTCTAACAAAATGAAACCTTGAGGTAAAAAAGCGACGAGAACAACAAAATCACGCACCTCATCCTCGTCCATTGGTCGACTGAAGGCAGAGCCATCGAGACGACGAAATGAACGCAAGACAACAAGAGACAAGGCGACAATGTTAATATTGGACCTTCCGTTGAGACATACGTAAGCAGCACAGACGGTACGAGGAGAAATAGACAAACCTCACCTCATGGTGTAAGGCGCGAGAGAGAAACTACTTTCTTCTGTACCGTAGAGATGAGATCGGAAGCGCTCAGACTACAACTAGGTCAATTCTCTGACGAGGGGAAAGGCATCTTCCCAGCAGCGTAACTCATGTCACACAAAGCAGGAAAGCACAGAAGCAGAAACGCGTACTCGATATGGGGTTGAGGCTGGAGGTGCATACATATACAACGTTGACAATATTTGCATATTTACAAGCACTAGAGAGCAATTTGTTGGTTCTTATCATTGGTTACAATCGTTTGTACTACTTAAAAAAAGAGCTCAATCTGCCAACAAGTTTAGAGTTCCGGGTTTGCAATCAAACAGTTTTTGGAACCCATAGCACAACACTAATTATTTATTACAAAGCCATTTCCTAACATTTTTAGACCCAACAGGCAACACCGTGACTCAATCAAGCCCACCACCCAAACTAGCCTAAACAAAGTACTCTACTTTCCAAAGCCACCAAACAACTTCCTTAAGCCAGACGATTTCTTCTTCTCCCCATCTTGCTCCGATCCAACCCACGCAGCCTCCCTCTCCCTCAACATATCCAAATACTCCCTCTCCTGCTTCAGCCTCGCCTCTCTAAGCCCCTCGCCAAACCCCACAGCTGCAGGGCTTGCCGCGCCAGGACCACCATGAACAAGCATAGGCGCAGGAGCGTGACTCTGATGGGGTGCAGTATGTGCAGTATACCCATAAGCATTGCTCATATGGACGCCGTTATTCAGCATCCCGAGTTTCTCCTGGCCCTCCATGCTCCCCCGTCGCCCAGGTGCCACCCCACCTGCCTCTGGGAGGGACCCATATGGGGAGTGATGCGGCATGCCAGGAGGGTGGTGGTACACCGCTGCCCCCCCAACATTCACTCCCCCCCCTGCTGCCATTGTGAGTGGTGCTGCTGATGATGCACTGGCCTCCTTCCCCTTGTTCTCCTTTCCTGGCTTCTCTCTCTCCTTCTCTTGCCCCTGCTGCTGCTCACTGCCTGGAGCAGCACTGGGGTTGTAACCATCAGCAGCCTCTGGCTCCTGGAAGGTCACAGTGCGACGGGCACGGCCGTTGGTGCTGCCATTGCCACTGTTTCCAGCAGCAGCGGTGGCAGTGGCGGCTGCAGTCTCAGCAGAAGTAGCAGGAGCAGCCATAGCCGTTGTCTCAGCAGCAACAACAGCATCTGTTGCCGAGGCACCAGTAGCAGTTGCAGATGCTTCTTCAGAAATATCTTCAACAAGCATCACGTCACTGCTCTCTGCTGCCGCCACAACAGCCTGTTGCTGCTGCTGTTGCTGCTGCTGTTGGTCAGCCTGTCCTGTGGGCGTTTCACCTGCTGCTTGGTTCGTCTCTGCCTTGCCCTCCTTTCCACTCGCAGCACCAGCAGCAGCAGCAGCGGAGGGAACAGCATTCACAATGTCACGGCTGCGCCCATTCGCCCCACCAGTCGCACTCCGCGGTCCCGATCCCGGGCTGGACAAAACTTTCCGCTGCCCGGCCCGGCACAGGTCAGGGCTCGAGGGCCGTGCAGCGACCCGCCCAGCTGCCCGTGCAGCCCCAGAAACAGACGACCCACCAGCAGCAGCACCACCAGCTGTAGCCCCAGCAGCAGCGAGTCTCATGGCAGAGGAAGCAGTATGCTGGGAGAGGGACCTGCTACCAGCAAGGGACCCCAGGGTACCTCTCGCACCCGAGGTAGTAGCGGTGCGGTTACCAGCAGTACCAGTAACGCCAGTAGTGGCAGTGGTGGTGCGGCGCCTCTCGATGCCAGAGGTGGAGGTGGAGCGGACGAGGCCTGTCGCCCCCCGCTTGAGGTGCTGCTGCCTCGCCTCCTGCTGCCGCTTCTTCTCCTCCTCCTGCGCACATGGGGGCAGGGGGAAGTGACGGGAGAGGGGGTGGGGAGGAGGGAAAAAGACTGAGATGGTTACCACCAGTAACGCTGGTAACGCCAGTAGCAGATGCGGCGCCTCTCGATGCCAGAGGTGGAGGTGGAGCGGACGAGGCCTGTCGCCCGCTTGAGGTGCTGCTGCCTCGCCTCCTGCTGCCGCTTCTTCTCCTCCTGCACACACGAGGGGAAGGGAACAGGGAGGTGCAGGGGGAGGGAAGGCGAACGGGACAAGGCTTAGTGGGGTCATGCCTTTCCACAGAGAAGACATGTGTAAGACAGCAGGGAAGAAGAGAGCTCATCACACAAAAAACATACCCTGCGGCGAGCAGCCTCCTGCTGCTTCCATCAGAAGCCGGTCCTGATGGTTGGTTCGAGGTACTGAGGACCAAAGGGGTAGGGGATAGGGGTTCAACCCATCAGAGACAGAGAGTGTGTTAACATACCCTGCGGCGAGCAGCCTCCTGCTGCTTCCTCTCCATCTCCATCAGAACCCGGTCCTGCGGATTCGCAGCCCGGCCCCGGCCACGTCCCGCACCCACACCAACAGCAGAAGTCGACGACAAACTCCGCCCACGCGCGCCAATCCCAGCTCGCCCCGCCACACCGCTCCCCACCACTCCCCGCCCTCTCCCCGCCCCTCCCACTCCTCTTGCTCCCACTCCTGCTGCGCCCACTTTCCTCCCCACGCCCCTTCCTGCTGCTTCTCCTGCCGCCCTCTCAGCAGCAAGGCTCAGCTCCATATCATCCCCATACAGAGAAGAGGAAGAGGAGGAAGAACCATCCGCCCCTCCTCCCACCAGCATCGCCTCTCCCAGCGACGCCTCCCACGCCATCAGATCCTCGTGATTCGACGGTCCAGATTCGTCCACAGGACCGCGGAGAGCATCTTCCCCGAGGAAATCGCGGGTAGATGAGTCTCCCCCCGCGCCTGCGCCTGCCACCACGCCCAGCATTTCCGCTTCCAGATTCGCGCCCCCGTTATAAGGCACCTGGTTAAGGGAACGGGAGCGGTCAAAAGCAGACACCCCTCCTGCCCCTCCTGCTGCAGCTGCTGCTGCTCCTCCCCCACCAGTAAGGTAATCAGGGGAAGGAGAGGATGAGACACCGGACATGAGCATGAAATCATCTGAAAACGGCCCAGAGTCCGAACCAGCGCTGCTGCTGCCACTGCCAAGCCCGAAAAGCGCCCCATCAGTCCCTCCTGCTGCCACTGCTGCTGCGGCTGTGTTAGGCTGCTTGAGGAACGCCTGAGTGGTGGGATCCGTAAGCCAGTCCTTCCCTGCGAGTTCCTGCTCCAACGCCCTCTGCTCCTCCTCTTGCTTCTCCTTCTGCTTCTCCTTCTCCCTCTGCTCCTGCTCCCCCCGCTGCTTGCTCTCCTGCTGCAGCTGCTGGATCTGCTGCTGCTGCTGAATCAGCCGCTCCTGCTGCTGCATCTGCATCTGCAGCTGCTGCTGCTGCCGCGCTAGCAGGTCTTGCAGCATCTGCTGCTGAAGCTCCGCCTCCTGCTGGTTACCGGGCTGCATCAGCTGAACCTCCTGGATTCTCCGCATCAGCTCAGGGTCTAGAACGAGCTGTGACTGCTGCTGCTGCTGCTGCTGGCGCTGCTTGTTTCGCTGCTGCTGCCTTCTTTCCCCTGGAAAGCCCGCACCCTCGTAATCCTCCTCTTCCTCCTCATCCGCGTCATCAAACTCATCTGAGCCTTCAGCCACAGCAGACGGGCGCACAAACAGGCTTCCGCTCCCACTGCGCCGGAGCATCCCGATTCCCCCTCCCCCGCCTCCCCCCTTCCCCCTGCTCCAGCCGCTGCTGCTAGCGAATCCCCCGCCCGCGCTCCCCGGACGCCCCGCAACTCCCAGCACCAGCATCTCCGCATCCGCACCGTTCATCGCATCCACATCAACGGTGCTGATGAAACTGTCGGCTTCGGACATATTCCCCATATCCTCCCCCGCTCCGCCTCCTCCGCCCGCCGCTCCCCTTGCGCCTCCGCCGCGCGCCCTTCCGCCAGGGAGACCGGAATCCGAGTCATAGTACCGCGCGCTGCTGACGTCAGCAAGCTCCCCATTGCGCTCACCGTTACCAGCACCGGCGCCATCCGCGCCACCGCTGTTCCCCCACGAGCGGAGCTTGGGGGAGATGCGCGCAGCCGCTCGGTTCTTCCGCCCGCCACCCCCCATGCGGTGGTAGTGGTGGTGATGCACGCCGAACACCGGCTTTCCCCCGATCCTAACCGCCCCCGGCGGCCCTCCCCCCATTCCTCCGCCGTTCCCCCCTCCGCGCCCGAACCCCGCCATGTCTGTAGCGCCGGGGAACTGGCCGGCGGCGGCTGTAGCGCCGGGGGCTACAGCCACGAGGCCATAAGGGAAGGGAGAGCCGGGGGTGTAGCCAGACGAACCGGGAGTATACATCGGTACGAAGGAGTACGGGCCGGTATGGGCGGCACCACCAACGGGTGTGCCTATAGCGAAGGGTCCAGCAGCCGCAGCTTGAGAGTCTCCGCCGGCTTCGGCGGCCTCCGCAGGGTCGGCGATGGTGGCGGCGTCCGGGGCGAGGGGGAGCCAGACTGCGGACATGGCGGGAGGGGTGGCGGGCGGCGGGTTGGCTTGGAGCTCCCGGCGGAGGAGCGTGGAGAATTGGACGCACGCTTGCCTGGGGAAAGGGAGGGGCACGTGTGGACACGTGGGAGGCACACATGGGGGGGACGTGAGTGACACGTGGGGTACGTGGGGTTGATCAGAGTGCGGGCATTGACAAGGAATGGAGGTGCGGACTCTGGATGTGAGGGGAAGATGTAAGGGGGAACTGGGGAGGAGTAGGGCAATTCAAATACGGGGGATGTGAAGAAGAGAGGGAGGGCATATGAGGGGGGAGTGAGGGTGAGTGGCGCTCAGGTGAGGCGGGACGAGCGGCGAGGGGGGGGGAGCGAGGGGGGAGAACGGGGGGGGGAAGGGGTGATGGGGAGAGGAGTGGGGCGCTCACTTGAGGCGCGGGGCGTCGAAGCAGTCGGCGAAGAGCAGCAGCGACGAGAGGACGTCGCGCGTGAAGCCGCCTGCTGCTGCGCGCGCCACCGCCACGTTCTGCTCGCGCCTCAGCATGCCCAGCCGCATGTGCATCGCCTTGCGGATGCGCCTAACACGGGTGGAAGGGGAGGCGGAAGGGGAGGCGGAAGGGGAGGTGGAAGGGGAGGTGGAAGGGGAGGTGGACGGGGAGGGGGAAGGGGAGGGGGAGGGAGAATGAGGGAAACGGAAGGGGAGGGAGTGGGGAAAGTGAAGCGGAGGGGAATGGGAGAGGGACAGGGAAGGGGAAGGGAAGGGAGAGGGGGACGAGGGACGGGGGAGAAGTTGGCAGGGGAGTTGAAGAAGAGGGAGTTGAAGCAGTGAGGCGCTCACTGTCAGATTGTGCATCTGCTTGCGGGTGGGAGTTGAAGAGAATCACAAAAGCAGAAGACGATGTTACTTATGAGAGTTCTCAAAAGTAACATCACCATAATTGGCAGGGGAGTTGAAGAAGAGAGTTCACAGTCAGATTGTGCATCTGCTTGCGGGTGGGACTTGAAGAAGAGAATCACCAAGATACCGAAAGCAGAAGCCCGGGACTAAGTCACTACGTCACTACGACACTCACATGATGAGCTCGCCTCCTTCCTCGTTGCCGTTGCTCTCCGCCACCGTTCGCAACCCGTTCTGTGAGTGAGGAAGGGAGGGAGAGCCGGATGGGGAAAGAGCGAGAGTGAGGGAGAGAGAAGGGGAGAGGGAGAGATAAGGAGAGAAGGAGGGTCGGTGAGTGGGTAGAATGTGAGAGGGAAATGTAGTTATTGTGTGAATAAGCGGGTGATAAGTTTGTCATAATGTGCGGAAGGATGCGACTTGGCGACTCCCATCCCATCGCACCTGAATGAGTCGCCGGATGGGCGACGGCGAGCGAGAGCTGGAGCGTCGCGCACGCAGCGAGCTGTCGCGAGTGAGCGACATGCCGCGATCGTCGCCGTCGAAATCTGGAAAACGAGGCGAGAGAGAGAGAGGGAAAGGGCAGCGACGGAGAGAAGAGAGGAGGAAGTGGGAAAGGGGTTGAGAGAAAGGAGTGAGAGAGTAAGGAAGAACTAGCTGGCAGGGTGGCGCCACCGCTTAGACTCGTGTGAAGCAACATGGAAGCGACAGACTCGTAATACGTGGTGACGATGAAACAGGGAATCCAGCGATGCTGAGACAAGGCGCGCGTAATACGTGGTGACGATGGGAGGCATGGTAGGGCCGTTGTGGTTATGAGGCAGAGCAAAGCGGGTGGGTGCATTTTGGTGCCGTTTTGCATGATATGCTTGGCACGAGCTTGCACGTGTTGGCACGTGCTGGCACGTGTTGGCATGTGTTTTCATGTGCTGGCATGCGTTGACAGGATTGGCATGATCGACAGGTGCTGGAAACATTGACGTGTGGGCATAATAGCAATATGCTGGGCTGGGAGACGGTCAAACCTGCATCGGACTTGGTGTCGTTCTGAGGCCCAACGGTGCACATGAGGGTGAAAAGGGAGAGGGGACGGAAGGGGGGGACGGGAGGGGAGGAGAGGGGAGGGGGGAGCGGATGGGAGAGAGGTTGGGAGAGCGCAAATTACGGGAGGGACTGGAGAGACAGGAAGGGCGGAAGGGAGCTGCGTGCCAGTGAAAGGGAGAGAGAATTGAACAATCTAATGCTCCGTCTCACACTGGCAAAAAGGCACGCTGACGGTAAGGGTAGTAAGCACCACATTCAGCTACGTGCATTACAAGAGATAGCCAAATGCTCTTAGTCTCGCATATATCCAAACGGAAGCCTCGCCGCACCTGGCCGTAGTCGGCGGGGGGAGAGGCAGAGGGATCGGCGGTGAGCGATTCCTCGAGGTGCAGCAGCTCCCTCTCGATCGCCACGGCGTGCTCGATGAGCCCTGGGGAGCTGATGAACGACACCGCCCTGGTGGGGGATAAGAGAGGAGCGAAGGAGCAGCACGGAGAGAGGTTGGATACAGGGGGGATGAGGGCAAGAGGGGTCGGCGGTGAGCGATTCCTCTCGATTGCCACAGCGTGCTCGATGAGCCCCGGCGAGCTGATGAACGACACCGCCCTGGTGGGAGAAAGGAAGAAAGTAAGGAACAAAGGACGGACAGAAAGGAGAAAGTTTGAGGAAAGAAGGTGGAAGAGGGTGGTCACGGCGTGCTCGATGAGACCCGGCGAGCTGATGAACGACACCGCCCTGGTGGGAGGGAGGACAGGAACGGAAAGAAACGAAGGAAGGAGAACGATTCACGAAGGAAGACGGCGAAAGAGGGGTCGATTCGAAGCGAGTCGCCGAGGCATATTTCTCGTGGCTTCGACTATTTCAATGCCCCATCGCGATCTTGGTGGGTCATGGAATCAGCCTCTCAAGGACACTATCGCCTCGAATTTAGTGAAATGATAACCAGTCGTAGGTGTTAATCGTGCCACGAAACTGAATGATCAGCACCTGGATCGCCATAAGAGCCCTTATCATTCCATTCCATTGTGGTTCTCGTGAACCAGTAGACGGATTTGTCAACATCCGGGCTGTTCACTGATTGGACGGTGGATAAGACCATATACCTTTCCACAGTGCTCCTTGTGACCCACGCGATCAACTCTTCAACATCCCGTCGTCCTGTTGAGGCGCCTCAACAGCACAAGACCTTACCTTTCCACGGTGGTTCTCGTGAACCAAGAGATCAACTCGTCAACATCCGCGCCGTCCTCCTCCTCTGGCGGAACATACCCCCCCCGCAGCTTCTGTCTCTGGAGATTCAGGAAATGCGTGCGTGTGCGCGGGTCGAGCTTGATCAGGTGCGAGCCGCTGCTGAGCTGATCCTCCACCGCCTTTATGTGGCTCGCGAACGGCTTGAGAAGGCCGGACGAAATGACCGTTGTGCTGCCATTGAGCGAAATCAGAACCTCGCACCTGCGACGAACGGTCACACCAAATTGTCAGGGAACCGAACCAAAAATGTATTTTTGTAAGTATATTGTCCCGGTTCCCGAGTTCGATAAAATACTGCATAGATGCAGCTACGATGGAAGAAGCTGATGGCATGGGATGGTGCTGGAAAGTGTCGGGGGTAGGCGTCACCTGCTTCGTGTCGGGTTAAGCGTCAGCTGAATGTTCTCTAAAATGGTAGCCTCCATCTTGAAGGTCGTTCTTGCGATAGGCGACGAAGCCAATGAACACGCTAAAGGAACATCGGTGTCCTCAACACCTACGGGAACGTTTGAGAAATGGATTAAGCCTACTAGTTGCCAGGAGCACTGGCTAAAGCGATGGACTAATGGTGAATTAAAAGCACTAGAACCAGTCCCTCCCTCTAGCACAAACTGAGTATATATTACTCGGACTGAACAGGTTGCAGGGTAAACGAGCTAAACTGCTGACTGTCAGTCTGAAACATGGAATGCGAAGGATGGAGTTGTGCAGGGATGGAATGAAATGGAGTTCTCTAGGAAAGGCGGGGTTGACAGTGACGAGAGGGGCGGAAATGGCTGATCAGAAATTCAGGCACACACATGCCTGCCCAACCCAGTCGCCATTCGCAACCAGACCACAAGGCGCCCGCAGCTGCCGAACCGAAAGCCTGACCAAATGGTGGCGACACAGTTCCGTCGCTGCGGTTCGCAAGGGCTTCCCCAGCCATGATGCGAAGGCTACGCTACTGGAGCCCGGTGTGGAATATTGGTCGCACACGTTCGTGTGGTTCTCGGCCAACAAGGGCGAACGTGTACGACAAGGATGCGACATGCTGCTTCGAGGTCCAAGCCTGTGATAGGGAAGAGTACAGGCACGGTTTGTGCTCCAGAGTGGAGCAGTCTCGGAGCTACGCGACTCGTAGTTTGAACCAGGTCACTGTAAGGTATTTCAGTTTTGGCGGGAAATGTAAAAGTCGAAGCTAATCAAGAAGCTCGTATACTATCCGAGCCTCCTCCAGTTGAAGCCCCCATTGCCTCGCAGCGACGTGGGTGCGACACCCTTGGCACGTCGCCAAGGGCTGGCTTGCTTCCAAGCTCATTCCTGACCAGTTGCCTTGGAAAAATACACATCAGCATGATGGCATTTACGCGTGAATTGCGGTTGGGGAAGATTCAAGCGGAGGAAACAGGTGGTGGTCAAGCATCCACTTGGAAGACGAATAGTCACCAGGGTTGATTTCGCAACAGGTCGCTCGTTACACAGTTGTCAGGTTTGAGGCACAGCGCTCACTATGATGTTTGTGCACTTAGACGTTTGAAATGCATAAGACATTGTGAAAAGTGCTTGTGGAAACACCTATTTCCATGAACGATGACGGGCAAAAATGTCAGTCAACTGGCGTTTGAGATGACGGTTTAGATTGGACGATGCTTATAGGTAGGGGAGTTATCTTCAAGTGCTACCACCATAGCACAGCCTTCCAGGCAGCTGAACGCCCTGTCCCAAAGCATGTATGTCATCGAACACATTCAGCAATGCTCTTGCTGCAGATATTCTGCTTATATACCCCATACTCATTTTCTCATGAAGGGGACAAGTCACAACACCATCTTTTAGAGAATGCCCAACCATTGCCCAATTAGTCAACATGCAGGTACTGTCTCTAAACAAGCAAACAATGTGAACGTCTCAAAGTTTATCCACCTGCAGACAAGGGCCAATCATTATCCGCCAAGGATTCCACTCGCCTCCTCCTCCCTGCATTTCCTAAACTTATCCGGCCTCCATCATATCTACCACCTCTAACGTCTACACCACCAGCTACGCTTCTTCCTTCCACATGCCAGTTCACTTCTTCAGCTCCCAAACCTGCCACTTCGCTCCGTCTCCCCTCCTCCCCCCTCTCCAGCAATTCCTCTTCCCCCACTGACGCCCGGTGGTCATGGGACCACTCCTGCTGCTGCCCCAGAGAATCACCACCATGAACTGCCTCCTTTTTCCGCACCCCTAACATAGACACAGACTCTTGAATAGAACCTCCCATAGACATAGGCCCCGGGATAGGCCCCCGCTGCCACACCGCAGAACCATCCTCATCACCATACACCACCCCACCCCTTACACCCTCTTCCTCTTCCTCCCAACCCCCTACCATCACCCCGCCCTCACTCATCCCTTCGCTCCTCCCTTCCCACTGCTCCACCTCTTCTCCTACAAACCTCCCCCCCTCATCATCTTCCTCTGCAAGCCAGTCCCACTGAGCGCCACCCCAGTCGTCCTCCTGCCCGCCTTCCCACTGCCGCAGCACATGCAGTGCTCCCTCCTCCTCCCCTCGTCCGCCCATCCCCTCCCACTCGCCCACCACATGCAAAGGAGAGTCTCCCACCATCTCATGCACACGAACAGGGGCGTCATTTCTAGAAGAAGCAGCTCTGGAAAGAGAAGAACTTCCATAAGAATTTCCAGAGGAAGAAATTATGGGAGAGGAGTCACCTTCCCCATACCTCTCCCCATACCCTTCCCCCCCATGTCCTTTTCCATAACCTTCCTCGCGCACCACAGGCGCTACCAGCCCTCCCACTATCTCCGCATATCCCACCACTTCCTCCCCTCCCCGCTCAACTTCCCTCTCCATAGGAATATTCACCTTTCCCTCAGCCTCCCCTCCGCCCAACTCTCTATGCCCCTCCACGCCAGGACTATACTCGTTACTGTCATGTCCAGTACCAGCATACGCTCTCGCACTGTGCTCATCAGCCCAGTACTTTTGCTCCTCGGTATCAACCTGCCATCCCCACTCCCTCTTCCCTGCTTCCACCCTCAGAGGCACCCCTACTCGCTGATAAACCCCGTTAGTAACCCCCCCGTTTGCAGCATTAGCAGCCATAAGTGCCAAACCTACAGTAACCCCCACTGCGCCGCCCAATCCGAGCACCGTGCCGTCCAGCGACCCAAGCTGACCCAGCGGCTTGGAAAACAGGTTCGGCTTGCCACACACGTTCCGGAACAAGCCGGAGAACCCAGACGAAACCTGCCGAACCATGCCGCCCGTAAGAGCGTCAACGAGACGAAAGCTACTGTTCAGGAAGGGATGGGCTAGGCGTTGGAGTGGCAGCAGAGGCAGGGGGACCAGACGTGAGGCAGAAGAAACGGAGGGAGGCTCTAGAGCTAGAGGATCAGGAGCAGTTGCAGAAGGTGCAGGAAAAGTGGATGAGAAGGTGTCAGGGGAAGCAAGAGCTGAAGCACTGGTAGCAGCAACAGCGGCAGCGGCAGCAACAGCAGCAGCAGCAGCAACAGGTGCAACCTGCGCTCTTGTGGAACCATCAGCATTCGTTATCGCAACGGGTGGCTTCCCATCTACTTCCTCCTCTCTTATTTCCTCCTCCTCCTCCGCCTCCTTGGGTTGCTCCCGACCAATTGGCAGCAGCGGGGGGGGTGAAGGTGAAGGTGAGGGTGGCAATGATGACGTGGAGGAGGGTGACGTGGAGCAGAGAGGTGTGACGTGAGCAGACGCATTTGACTTGCGTTGACTGGTCGGCGGCGAGACGGAGCCACGAAGATCTGCCTTCTTGCTGCCACTAGTGTTACTAATGCAATCACTCCGCCTAGAACCACCGCCACTGCCACTGCCACTGCCACTGTCACTGCCACTGCTGCTGCCACTTCCGCTGTCACCTCTCCTCCTGCTGTGGCTGCTCTTCACGCTGTCCGGCTGCTGCTGTTGCTGTGCCAGGAAACTTATTAAGGAGGAAGGGGGGCCGGCTGGGTCGGTCTTATTGGTGCTACTAGAATGGTCTCGTTTGTCCTTGTAACGGGTATGAGGAAAGCACAGGGCTGGACCAGAATGGTGGCTCTGAAAAGAGTGGCGGCTCTGAGAAGAGTGGCGGCTTTGAGAAGAGTGGCGGCTTTGAGAAGAGTGATGGGTATGAGAAGACTGATGGGTATGCGCAGAACGGGAATGGGGGCTGCGAGGGCTCTGCGTGTTAGCCTGGGAACGCTGGGAGCGAGGGGAGTGTGCGGAGCAGCCGGAGCAGGCAGAGGAGGAGGACGGAGAGCGGGCAGGAAACGAGGGCTTGCCAGCAGCAGTAGTTTCAACAGCTTTGTGCGACTGTGATCTCCTCGTCGCGGATCCTCTGCCGGAGGAAGAGGAAGAGCCGGAAGGAAACGAGGGCTTGCCAGCAGCAGTAGTTTCAACAGCTTTGTGCGACTGTGATCTCCTCGTCGCGGATCCTCTGCCGGAGGAAGAGGAAGAGCCGGAAGGAAACGAGGGCTTGCCAGCAGCAGTAGTTTCAACAGCTGCGTGCGACTGTGTCCGCCTACTCGCGGATCCTCCGCCGCTGTACCTCCTGTTGCTCTCGCTGTTGCTGCTGCTGCTACGGCCACTGCCAGCAGCAGCATCGACAGCTGCTGCTGCTACTGTGGTAACCGGACGCCCCGAGGGGTGCTTGGCATCGTGTCGTGCGGGGTTTTCTTCTGCTACAGGGTTGTCTGCTCCTGGCAGGATCTGGGCGACACTGGCGATGAAGTGAAGCAACTCCCTCACCACCTGAAGGGTTGGGAAAGACAGAGGGAACAACACGGACGCAAGAATTGAACGGGGGTTTAGGAAAAGACACAACAAGCTGGCCATGAAGTGAAACACCTCATGACGTGAGGGGTTGGGGGGGGCAAATGGAGGAGAGTTGACACATGGAAGTGGCAAGGAAGGGAAAGTTTTAAGAGAAAGTTTCAAGACACATTGCGTGAAGCAGATGAGGAGCTAAGGAGACATGACACAGAAAGCAAGCAGGGCACACATGGGAAGATGCTTAGAAACAAACGAACAACAAGAGAGATGGAAATAGAAACAGATGAAGTGCTATGCTGCAGGCATACCACTTCCTCGCGGCCGTGGTGGCTCTCCCCCTGCGACCACACCACGCGCAGCGCCATCTGCAGCTGTGTTTTGAGTCGACTTAAAACACGACTCAATACACGCATGTAGTGCTCGCAGGCTAGCAAGCTAGCAGGCATACCGTTTCCTCGCGGCCGTGATGGCTCTCCCCCTGCGACCACACCACGCGCAGCGCCATCTGCAGCTCAGCCACTGCTCTTCCGCGCGCGTCCGCCGCTGCTCTTCCGCGTTCCCCTCCACGTGATTCCCTGCCATAATGGCTCTTTGGGTGCTTCACCCGCTCTCCCGGCCCCCACTCTTGCATCTCCCGCTGCTGCTGAGCTTGCTCCAGCTGCAGCTGATGCTGCAGAACCTGCTCCTCATCCATCAACCGCTCCAAACCGCTCTCGACCATCTCCAGAGAATCCCGCAGAGCAATGAGCACTCGTGCCTCCGCAGCACCCTCCCCCAGCCTCGAAGCTCTTCTCGAGCCCATGGCAGGCAGAGACAGCCGGCCATACTGCAGCGCGTGCAGCGTCTCATGCTGCGTGTGCTGCTCCTTGTTCTGCTCCTTCTGCTGCTGCTGATGGCTTGGAGCGTCAGCCTGACCACGCTCTGACAGAGAGGAAGGCGCCTTGGATGATGAGCTGCAGTGATCAGCGAAACGATACGCACGCCACAGAAGAGATCAGTTCCGGTTACGTCTAGGAAACACATCCCGGAAACACGTCCGGAAATCCCATCCGGAAAATGCTTACGGAAAATGGCTTGGAAGGGGAATCAGTGCACGGCATAAGTGAAAGCGAATTGCACAGGACAGGGAATGGGAGAGTTTGGACGCCTCAAAACACGGAAGCTGAGAGTCAGGTGCTTACTTGCGAGAAGACGATGTGGACAGATCAAGCGGAAACTTCGGCGAAAGAATGAGCGGGCTCGAGCTGAAGACGTCTCTATGAGTTCGGGTTTGAGCTTGCTTGAGGTTCTCGTGTGCAGGTTGATGTGAATCAGGGTGTGTGGTGCTTGACGTCGTGTCTCGCTGGCTTGACCTATAATGGAGAGATAAACGGGAATAAAAAAGGACGATACATCAATGACGCGACTATGTGATGAGTGGATTGAAGTGCAATAAACTGAATTAGAACATGTTTATCATCATACCATGATGCTTGTAGGATGACAAGAGAACAATTACCAGCAAGTGTAAATGTTTGAATAAGACGTGACATGATTGCGCGTGCGTGGCTTACCATGATCGTGCAGTTAACGGAGCAGACGCTGACGTCGCTAAAATGAAATCGCTTTGCAGGCTCCTTTCGATCGCGTCGCTAATGTTTTCGTGAATGTTCGCAGCGCACCGAAGCAACTCGCAAAAATGCTGCTGAGACTCCATCTGATAACGATGAACTTCCAGGCTCTTCCAGGCGTATGACTGGAACCTATGTAAGAACGCCTCAAATTAACAATGATCCTACCTATTGTATCCAACCTAACACTGACGTAAGCTCCGTGGGCTTATGAAAAAGAAGCATTTTCCATCTGCTACGAAATTCTTACAGACAGGACACATGATGCTGGAAAGGCATAGCTCATGCTAGTCCAGCTGAATTACAGCTATGATGAACTAGGAAACTGTTCTCTAGGTTTAGAGAGCTTCTCTAATCTCCCTAGCTTTGAGCCCCGTCTTGGTTGATAAAGCTGGGGATACATAACAGAGTGAAATGTGAACGAGGCACACGAGGTTTCACGAAGCGGTTACCTCCTGTGGTCGAAACAGTCTTGAAGGAGAGGGGCTGAAACACCGATCAAACACCGCCACATGGCGAACACTGGTACACTCGACATGCACGATCAACGGTGAAACGACGGAGCGGGGCTACAAAGGTGGAATTGGCGGTATGGATGGGCTCGCCACGTTTGACAAAGGGCGACGCAACCATCGCACGTCGCGCACATGCATCGGAACATCGACTACCACGTCCACGGAACGAGTGATCGCCACCATTGCGACATATAATAAGCGACCCTCCGGGACTCCGTTAGAAAGTACGGCACTACTGCATATGGGCGCTGTACAGACCCATTACATTAGCCTTTACACGGTTGGTTGAACAACAAGCCCTTCCGCAAGACGCGGTAAGGGAGAGATTTCGCCTTCATGGAAGTCTTGTTTTACATACTGGTTTTTGTGTGAGAAGTGTATATTGCGATCATCTAGGTGAACCTTTGAAAGCGACACACCACCCAACAATAATTGCCAGGCCAGGATTTTGTTCGAACCGCGCAGACACACCTCACCGCCAGCCATAGTGAATGAATACAGGGAGGAGGCAGAAAGTTCAAGTTCACAAACAGCACTAGCAGGAAACATAATCGGTTCTACGTAGTAATTGATCTGAGTACTGTCTCGCTCTTCTCCGCTCGCGACGGTGATGCATTTCACTAATTACGACCTTTCGAACAAAGAGGGACCCTCCAGCTTCTAGCGCACAAATTCGAGCGCAAATATAATCTGGCGGAATCTAGTCTGGAACGCATTCTTCTCACTGTTGCACGTTCCTCGCTGTGCTCTAAAGTCGCTCCCGCGCTCGCAGGCGAGTCGCAGTCGCCAGGCTTCTAAACTCAATCCCTCTTATATCTCATCTCCTCTTAGAACTCGATTGTTCCCAACTTTTGATCACTCGTGCCGCTGTGGCCGTTGCCACGAGAATGTTCTGCGCGTGCTGCTGTGCGCAATGCTGCGAGTCGCTCGGCTCGTGCTGCTGCGCGGCGTGCTCTCTGGGGACGTCGCGGCGCGTCGCAAAGTATATCTACGGGCTCCTCTTCCTCCTCGCGCTCGTCCTCATGTGGTGCTTGCGGGACTTCGGCCATACCGCCCTCATGCATCTACCCAGTGAGTAGTGCCGCGTTTTGACTAATACTGACTCGTGCTATAGCGAATCAGTCCTCATGTGGTGCTTGCGGGACTTCGGCCAACAGATCTGATGCATCTACCCAGTGAGTAGCAAGGCGTTGCGATTTATAATTGTTCGTGCTGTAGTGAGTCATGCCGCGCTCATATATCTACCCAGTGAAAAGAATGTCCTTTCATCTGAACCATGGGCTCGATTCGTGGTCGCTTCGCTCATTTTCTTCTTCTTCTCTCTCCCTCCCTCCCCCCCTCCCTCCCTCCCTCCCTCTCCCCCTCCTGATCACAGCAGGTTTCAAGAAGTGCAAGCCTAGCGACCAGATGTCGTGCTGACTCTCAATTGAGCTCAAATGCATTTTCTTCCCTCCCTTCGCCCCCATATTTCCCTCAGGCTTCAAGGAGTGTAAGCCGGGCAATCAGGCGTGTACAGCAGCAACCGTGGTGCTGTGCACGGGGCTCGGCATGTCGCTATTCTTCGCCCTCATGTCTGTAACCACCACGGGGGCGCGCGTGGCTGCCCCCCCTTTTTCCCCCTCCTCACAGGCTTCAAGGAGTGTAAGCCAGGTGACCAGGCGTGCACAGCAGCGACGGTGGTACTCTGTACAGGGCTCGGCATGTCGCTCTTCTTCGCCCTCCGCCCTCATGTCTCTCACCACCATGGGCGTCCTTGCTGCCCCGTGTGTGTCACACAGCAGCGACGGTAGTTCTCTGCACAGGGCTCGGCATGTCGCTCTTCTTCGCACTCATGTCTGCAACCACAACGGGGGGGCGCGTGGATGGCGGGGCCCGTGACACGTGGCACTCCGGCTGGTGGCCGCCCAAGCTGCTGCTCTGGGCGGCATTGCTTGGCATGACAGTCTTTCTTCCTCTAGGTAGGTGCCTTGACTTATGAGTCGACTCAAAAGGGGTCCGTGACACGTGGCACTCTGGCTGGCGGCCGCCCAAGCTGCTGCTCTGGGTGGCATTGCTTGGCATGACAGTCTTTCTTCCCCTAGGTAGGTGCCTTGAACTAGTCAGCAAAAACAGTCAAGCGAGGGAACAGAAGGTTCAATGCATTTGAAAATCATGTATGCAAGGTTAAGATTTTTTATTTTGGTACGGTATGCTCATAGGAGTCTCACTACCCTACTAGTACCTGCCTAGACCGTATGGTATACGTATCCTCGGCCTTCTCCCCTCTGCCATTCTGTGCAGGCGTGTTGAGAATCTACGGCTACGTGGCTGTGGTGGGGGCGGTGATCTTTGTCGTTATCCAGCTTGTCAGCATGCTCAACTTCGTCTTTGTGTGGAATGACACGTGGCAGGCAAACAAGAAATGGTGAGCTTCTGTTGGAATGGTGAGGAAATAAGAAATGGTGAGCTTTCGTATCAAGTCAAGCTGCTCACACTCTACTGCCCTCACACCCTACTGCCCTCACCTGCCCTCACGCCCACCTCCCCTCACGCCCTCACGCCCTTGTGCAATCATGCGCTATTAGCACGTTCACTTTATTAGGCACCTCAGAACTACTCAGAGTTTTACAAAATGATGATAATTGGATGAAGTGGTGGCAATCTCTTTATGCCCTCATGCCCTCACGCCCTCATGCCCGCATGCCCGCATCTTATGGAGTGGTGGTAACCAGAACACGTGAACTAGCAGGGGCGGCAGCATCTACCATCATCTACCTTTTAATCATACCCTCATCCCTTCCTCCCCTCTTCCCACTTTCTTCCCTGCCCCCCCTTCCAACCTCTCTCTTGCCCGAGCCTGTCTAGCTCAGGCACGTGTTGGCAGCAGTGGTAACCGGAGCATGTCACTTGGCAGTGGCAGCAGCAGCAGCGCTCATGTGCCTATTCTTAATGCCTTCCTCCCTTATTCCCCTTTCCTGTTCCCCCCAAACCCCTCTCTTGCTCCAACGTGCCTATCCCTCAGGCACGTGTTGGCAGCAGTGGTAACCGGAGTATGTTACGTGGCAGTGGCGCCAGCAGCTGCACTCATGCATCTCTTCTTCGCGCCCTCCTCCTCCTGCTCGCTCAATCTCTTCTTTCACTCTCCTCCCACCACTCAGGCACGTGATGGCAGCAGTGGTAACCGGAGTGTGTTACCTGGCAGTGACAGCAGCAGCAGCGCTCATGCATTTCTTCTTCGTGCCCTCCTCCCCTCCCCTCTTTCTCACCTGTCTTATCCCTCAGGCACGTGTTGGCAGCAGTGGTAACCGGAGTATGCTACGTGGTAGTGGCGGCAGCAGCAGCGCTCATGTATCTCTTCTTCGTGCCCTCCTCCTCCTGCTCGCTCAACCTCTTCTTCATCTCCTCACTGCTCGTCCTCGTTCTCCTCCTCACCCTCGTCTGCCTCCTCCCAGCTGTGAGTGCCGCCCTCACCATCTTTTTGAATTACAAGTGAATCCCTCCTTCTCATTAGCGTCTGCCTCCTCCCAGCTGTGAGTGCCGCCCTCCTCTTGGCTTTCCTCTGCACATTTCGTTTCGATTTACAAGTGAATGCCACCTTGTCATCAGCGTCTGCCTCCTCCCAGCCATGAGTGCCGCCCTCCTCTTGGCTTTCCTCTGCACATTTCGTTCTGATGCCTTGTACTACAAACGAATCCCACCTTCTCACCATCGTAGGCTGCCTCCCAGCCCACGCACCCTCCTTCCAGTAACAGCTGAACTCTACAAAGCTAAAAGGGGAATGTCCAGCAGTACGTATCCTCTGTCCCTTTGGTGCTTTCCCCTGTGTAGTGCCCCGAGCTGTCTCAAACACTGTAGTTTTCCCACTTCCTCCCCTCTCCTTGCTCCTCGCTCCTCGCTCCTCTACCCTCGCATCCTCGTGACTTTTGAGTCGACTCAAATGCTTCCTCCCCTCTCCTTGCTCCTCGCCCCTCTACCCTCGCATCCTCCTCCTGCTTCTTTCCGTCGGCCCTCAAGCCTCACCGCACCAAGTGTGACTTATCCCACTTGCGTTCACCCTCCGGTTATGAGGCACCTCGAAACTAGACTCCGGTTATGAGGCGCCTCAAAGCTCCTTTCCTTCGGCCCTCAAGCCTCACCGCACCAAGTGTGACTTATCCCACTTGCGTTCACCCTCCGGTTATGAGGCACCTCGAAACTAGACTCCGGTTATGAGGCGCCTCAAAGCTTCTTTCCTTCGGCCCTCAAGCATCACCGCACCAAGTGTGACTTATCCCACTCGCGTTCACCCTCCGTGCCCCAACCTTGTTCCCCCACGCCCTTGTTCCCCCACACCCGTGCTCACCCCCACCCTTGCTCGCTCTAACCCCTGCTCGCCCTTACCCTTGTGCACCTGCAGGTCGAATCCACTGGGCTTCTGAGCACGGGAGTCATGGCGGTGTATTTTGTCCCCCACCCTGTCCCCGTCTGCCCTCACCCTTGTGCCCCCTGTCCCCGTCTGCCCTCACCCTTGTGCCCCCTGTCCGCTTCTGCCCTCAACCTTGCGCCCCCTGCCCCCGCCTGTTCACCTGCAGGTCGAATCCACTGGCTTACTGAGCACGGGAGTCATGGCGGTGTATTTTGTCTACCCGTGCCCCCGTCTGCCCTCACCCTCGTGCCTCACCCTCGTGCCTCACCCTCGTGCCCCCTGCCCCCGTCTGATCAACTGCAGGTCGAGTCCACGGGCCTTCTGAGCACTGGAGTGATGGCGGTGTATTTTGCCCACTGCCGCCCGCTTGTGCCCCCTGCCCCGTCTGCCCTCACCCTCGTGCCCCCTGCCCCCGTCTGTTCGCCTGCAGGTCGAATCCACGGGGCTTCTGAGCACAGGAGTAATGGCGGTGTATTTTGTCTTCCTCTGCTGGTCAGCAATCATGAGCGAGCCGCCCGGGGAGACGTGCAACACACGCCCGAGGCAGACAGGACAAACAACGTGGACAGATGTTATGGTGAGTTCAGTGCTGTCACTTCCATCTGAACGTCCCAGCAGTGCTGAAGAATGGACGACTTTTGAGGCGCCTCAACAGCATTCACACCAATCTTAGTTTCTCTCCTCGTAATCAATTCCGTCCTGACCTCGTGGCAGTGCTGAAGTATGAACGCTTATGCCCTGATACAGCGGCTCTTCGGCGTTGTTCTTGACCTTTAACTGTCTCTTCCGCCCGCTCGCATGCTCGTTGACCCTAACAGGCGTTCGTTTTTGCTCTCCTCACGATCTTAGTTTCCGTTTACACTGTGGGAATCGACCGGCGGTGCATCTCACTCCATCCAGACTCCGGCGAGGATGTGGAGGGTGCGGGGAACGGCAAAGTGTCATACGGGCATGGGTTCTACCATTTTGTGTTTTTAACAGGAACCATGTACATGACAATGCTATTTATCGGGTGGGATTTAAAACAGAACCCGGCCCAATGGAGCTTAGATACAGGCTGGGCTAGCACCTGGGTGAAAATGGGGATTATGTGGTTTTCAGGAGCTGTTTATCTATGGGTTCTTGTTGCCCCATTGGTTATCCAGGGAGGGAACTCTCTAGTTAAGGGGTCGCCATAGTATATTTAAATGTTTCTAACAAAAGAAATTGCACAAGGTTCACCCATGTGTCCACCCATATTCGTCGAGGCCGTTTGGAATGCATTTTTTAAGCAAACCAGTTTGGCACATGTTGATTGGATTTCTAAGTTAGCATATTTATGAAAAAACAAAATGCGACTAAGCCTGACAAGGTCGGCTAATCCAACCGATTTTAGTTAGAAGGGGTTCGTGCTCACTCGAGTTTGACAGGAAACTGGAGACCCAGTACAAGTGATAAACCTGTGCTTCCGGAAGCTTGAATGTGCACCACCACCTCCTTGATGAGTAGCCCTTCTCGCATCTTAGATGTGTTTCAATTAAAACGTTATTTGAAAACGAGTAATGCTTGTACCTATGTCCATACTGTATGGTCTCTTGTGGGCAGCATTTTCCCCGTCAAATGAAGTCTTGTTGACTTGCAACGATTACGAGTTGGCAAGATGTAATAACTACCCTGCCGAGCTGGCTGCTGCCAGCTCGTCACAAGTTCTTGACCCGACAAGAGTGAGCCTTGTCCGAGCGCTACTGAAACGCCAGCAAGGTATGCGTCGTGCGTGTACAGTTTCGATTGACACCCCATGTGCTGCTCAAAATTTTATGTTTTTGTCGTCGACAGACAGTTTCTGCCAGCACGACTGTTGAAATGCTGATGTGTTGGCTTACCACCGCCAAAGTGTTGTCGCGAAGTGCAGTTGCAAGATATAGCCAAAGTGTTGTTGCGAAATGTTGGCTTACTGGATACAGTTGAAGCAGAAACTTCCTATGATGCTGCTTACTCAGCCCAAAATCTGTACTGGTCCGTCAATTGCGGAAAACAGTCCAATCACCACTCACGAGCCCCTCTCATCCCTTCGGTGACTTTAAAGCCAGGATCTCAAGTAGTTCAATTGTTTTGCAGCTGGTGAGGGGAGCTGGGCTGCGATTGGTTAGCGAGGTGAACAATCTGACGAGGTGTGAAGCGAGGGGTGCGAAGTAAAGACAAATCGCAAGTTCAGTCCGAACCAAGCAAGGCTCGGAAACTGGTTCGGTGACGAAGCTCCAATGCCTGCAATTTCTCGTCACACACAACAATCTCATGTACCAGCAAAATGTTTTGCATTTGCTCTAGGGGCAAAATCGTGGGTGTGCCGCACGCTCACTTTCCTAACCAGCCAGTCAATTCGCCTACAAAAATAGGGTAACAAGCGCTGCAAGTGTTTTGCAAATTGAAGGCCAATTCTCTTACTTGAGATCCTGGCTTTAAAGAATCGTGTGGACATTGCATGCGTGGACGTAACCTCCGAGTCGCGTTTCGAAGGCGATGCGACAAATCGCTGCAAAGGCATGTGGGGAAGAATGTGCAAATCGTGTGGGATTCATGAAACTCGCACGATTTCCCTAAAGCCGGCGAGATTTTCCCAGCGAGTCGCATGTCTGCTGGTCACAACGAGGAGCAGTGACGGTTGGGATGAAAGGACTGGGGAAGGAGACAGGTTTCGAACTGGCAACACGAAAATGTGTATTGTTCGCCAAAGATCGCGAGCTCTCGTCACTATTCCCCTCCCATCCCATCTCCCCCCATCACCTCTGTCTCTCGCTCCCTCCTCGCATTGTACATGTGCACTGTATCATGGCTTCATTTTTCCGCTTCTCTCTCTCGCACCCAAATTATCCCACGTTGGTGGACGCTCTTTATCTCATGTCTTGCGTGCCTCGTCCTTGTCCCCCTCCCCCTCCCCCGTCTCCCCTCCTTCCCCTCCCCCTCCCCCCGTCTCCCCTCCTTCCCTCCCCCCTCCCCCCCCCCCCCCCTCCCCCCCCCCCCCCCCCCCCCCCCCCCCCCCCCCACTCGCCCTCCTTTCAAAGTTCCCTTATCCCCCTCCGTTTGCTCACATCAAAGGGTTTCATTCAGCTCAGCACCACCATTGGGCCCTCTCTCTCGCATTCCTACGTGAACAGTGTCAAAGGAAAAATATCCGTCCCCAGACCAGACCATTCCATTGTCGCACACACCCGCCGTCCCCAGCCCATCCCCAGACCACCTTCCGCTCAATCTGCACCGCCGTGCAAGCGGTCCTTCGTGAGGGTTTCAAGCTTCATCACTATTGGCTGTTCGAGGTGACTCATCGGATGAGACATGTTCGTTGCGAGCCGGTGGGAGGGTGCCTGAGTGCCTCGCCTCTTCCTCCATCCGCCGATGGCGAGTCACCTTCGTTGTGTGACAGTCCACACCACAATCCCCGGCGATGTTATATGATATGTTCGGCCCTCTCAGATCCGCACTCTTTGATTTTACATTTCCAGTCACGTCTTGCCGTTTCATCGCATTGCGCCATCGTCAGCCCCTGAGGCTGTCTGTCTCTCTCTCTCTCACTCTATCTAATTATTTTTCCAACGATCGTACGACGATATTCCGAGTCAGTTTAAGAACGTTGTCGTACCGAAATGATCCGTTAATATCGGTTCCCATTGGGGAGGAGCTTCCCCTCGTCCAGAGAGTGATTCGCCTCCGCCGATTGCGGCGCACCGCCGCCGCCATCGCACCGTTTGCGGAGGAGGATTCTCGCCGTGTCCCACGTAATGTGCCAGCCAATGACAACGCTCACTTGTCCACGAAGCGGATGCGGCGGCGGCGGCCACGCCAACGGCTACCACTGCGGCTCAGCCTTTAAGTCTCCACCTCAAGACTCGCATCGCCTCCGCGGCGGTGGTGGCGGCAGCGGCGGCGACTGGGATTCGCCGCGGTGGCCGCAGGCCCTGGCAATCCGGGACTCCGAGTCGGAACCTTCGTCGTCCCTCATGGTGACGGGGACGGTGACGGTGATGGGTTCTGAGAACGAGTCGCAACCCCGTGACGACGACGCGCTTTGGCGCGGCGCCACGAGCACCAGAGTAAGTTCACAGGTCTCAGTGACAGCCACCTGAACCGCCCACGGAACCTTCGTCGTCCCTGGTGGTGACGGCGACGGCGACGATGACGGTGATGGGATCCGACTCTAAGTCGCAACCCCGTGACGACGACGCGCTTTGGCGCGGCGCTACGACCACGAGAGTGAGTTGAAAGTCACAACCGCCCACCTTGCGGATGTCAAGCCGGCGGGAGGATCATCCCCGCTACTGAGAACCTCTCTCGGACTTCAAGAACATTTTCTATAAAATTTTCTACAACGGTACACACATGTCTCCCCCCAAGTGACTTGAAGTTCAACCGCCACTCAGTGTCTCTAAAATGCTGCTCTTCTGCCGTGCTGCTGCTGCAGGTTCCTCGTGCTCCCTCATCCGCTCGATCGCGGATCATTCCAATGGACGAGATCAAAGCGCACTTCCACATGCCCATCAACGACGCCGCCGCCAAGGTACTACTACCCGCATTGATGATAGCACAATCATTCTCAGTACGAGTTAGTCTACACTCCTCTGAGGTTCTTTTTTATCTTTAGGCTCCTGTAGAACCGTCGCAACGCCGCGTCATGGCAGTTTGCTGTGCCTCCTCGGCCTCTTCTGTTGCCATGACATCATTCGGAAGTCGTGTCGCTTAGTCCCCTCGTCCCATTTCCATTCATGATGGGCCCATGGGTACGATGATGATGATGGCGATGGGTCCCTTAGCACGATGCTCACGATGATCTTGTCTCCTTGGCCTCTTCTGTCGTGTCGGCCTCTTCTGTCGCCATATATGATATCGTGTCGCTCACGTCCCCTCCTCCCTTTTCCTCTCGTGATGGGCCCATGGATATGACGGTGATGGTGGTGGGTATGATGGTGATGATGGTGATAATGGTGATGATGGTGATGATGGTGATATGGTGCAGATGGGCGTGTGCGCGACGGTCCTGAAGCAGCAGTGTCGCGACTACGGCATAAATCGTTGGCCTTTCAGAAAGGTAACATCATGTCGCAGGATCATCACTGACGGTGACGTTAACGCCTGGTCAATGACATGGCGGTGACGTTAACGCCTGGTCAATGACATGGCGGTGACGTTTAACGCCTGGTCAATGACATGGCGGTGATGGTCAATGACATGGCGGTGACGTAGCGATTGACAAACCGCCTCATTGTCGGCCTCACATTGTAACGTCTTACATATCAAAATAGCCATGTCTGTAGTATGATTCGCACGCATATCATATGATATTTCGAGTCGACTCACATACACAACCAAACAACCCGCCTTCCTTCTCGCTCTCACATACTGGCGTAGAGTCATCATCGCCAGAACCTCACCATCATTGTCCCGCCTTCCCTGTCGCATGGTGTACAGGTTCGCAAACTCGACAGGCTGCTTGTGGCTCTAGTGGAGAAGCCTACAGTGGGGATGACAGGAGAGGCGGTAGCAGCAGCGGCAGCGGCAGCAGGGGCTTCTAAAAGCCGAGCGATTGCCAAAGCCCAGGAGGTGAGGCCGTTACCCGCCCATTGTGGTTGTTGAGGCCCCCACTGTCCCGCAGCTTTCTCCTGTCAGTTGATTGTCGATCCAACTTGAGTTGAGTGAGTGAGAGCTGACTCAATTGATTGTTGATCCAAACTGCTCCCTGCAGCTCCTTCTGTGTGCGTGTGTGCTCATTTAGTGTGTCTCATCCCTCCCACCTCGTTCCCCGTTTTCCCCTCTCCATGCCTCCCCCCTCCACCACAAGCAGCGGAAGCGCAAGCTAGAGCAGGTGAAGGGGGCGCTGACTGAAGTGATTGTCGACCCAAACAGCTCAGGTACAGCACACGCCAAACGGGGGGCTGCCTCGTGAGAGAATCTCGTGCTGAGCTCAGATGTGTTACCCATGTTACCCGAGCGTATGCCTCAACTGATACCACGCTCACAGCCCTCTGGCCCCTGATTATCACTACTACGATTAATATTTAATTATTATTATTATCATTATTATAATTATTTTCATTAATATTACTATTGGCGTACAACTCAAACGACCTGTCCTTGCCTCCCTCTTCTCCTTCCCCCCATTCTGTGCCATGTGTGCTGCTCACCTCAAGGTCGGCAAGATGAGGGTCGTGCCAAGAGCTCCCGCCCAGCCCTCCAGCACCAGTTACGAGTCGACTCAAAACTCCTCTCTTCCCGTCCCTCCCTGTGCCCTGTGTGCAGCTCACCTCAAAGTCGGCAAGATGAGGGTCATGCCAAGAGCTCCCGCCCAGCCCTCTAGCACCAGCAACAGCGGCGGTAGTGGTGGTGGTAGTGGCGATGGCAACGTGCATTGTGCCAGTGGCGTCGATACGACTCGATCCGATATTCCTCCATCCAACACCCCTACATCCAACACTCCTCGATTCGACACCCCTCTCGCTTCTCCTCACCCGCCTCCTCCTCCTCCTCGATTTGCAGCATCGCCATTCCTGGCCTGTCCCCCAGTTCCTCTTGCCCCTCCTCCAGCTTTCCCTCCCCCTCCTCCACCCTTCCCCTCCGCACCCCGTCTCCCTCTTACCACCGCGCGACCTCTCCTGCTACAGCCTCCTCACCCAGCGTCGCCTCTCCTGCTACAGCTGGTTCAGCCATGGCTGTTTCACTCACACTCACATTACACGCCAACCATCGTGGCGGAAAGCTCACTGCAGATCCAACTCAATAGTCAAACCAGCGCACTCCCAGAGAGCTTTGAGACGTCTCGAAACGCCATCGTGGCGAAAAGCTCACTGCAGAGCCAACTCAATAGTCAAAACAGCGCACTCCCAAAGAGCTCCTGGACTGGCGAAGACTACTCTCACCTGCACCAGGTGACGGTTCAGGTGAATTCTCAGGTGGAAGCTCAGGTGGGATCGGATTCAGGAGCATCTGGAGTCACAAATCCTTCTCGCATGGAGCAGCAGCAGCAGCAGCAGCAGCAGCAGCACGATTGCCATCAAGGAGGGTTGATACCTGCTGCTACAGCCCAGCTACAATACCTGGCTACTGCTACAGCCCCTCCCCTCCCACCCAGCTCATCATGTGACACATCAGCACCGAGCCTCTCTGAGCTGGACTTGCTCTCTCTCCTGCATGCTGCCAAACCAGGGCCGTCCCAGGCCTGCACCGAGGCTGGCACCGAAGCTCATGCGCAGGCTCGGAAACAGGTGCAGGGGTGTGGCAACCAGGAGAAGCAGGAGGAGGCTGTTTTTGGGTGTGAGGAAATCACCCTGACCTTGTCGCTTGCAGTCAGACATGGTATGCCAGGCAGTGGCAGTGGCAGTGTCATTGAAAGTGGAAATGGCGGTGGCGATGCTTCGAATGGTGGCGCGTCAAATGGCGATGGCGACTCGTTGTACGGTCAAGGAGGACCCGACAAAAGAGGTGTGCCCAATGGCGCTGCTTTGAATGGCGAAGGAACGCGGTGCTCTGAGGATGCAGCCCGGCTACCTTTTGCCAACAAGAGTGAGGGTATTGGTTTGACCTCTGGGGAGCAAAGGAGTCTCAAGATTGGTTTGGCCTTTGATTATGAGATAGGTCTTCAGGCTAATATGCCCAATAATAGCCAGCAGCAGCACTGCTGGTCCTCGTTTAGTGGGTTTTTTCCATCACCTGCTGTTCCGCTGTATAGGTTACAGCAGATCAGCAAGGGTTGATCATGTAATGGAGTTGCTGTATAGTTTCTATAATCGTATACCTACGTATATATAATTTGCAGTATATGGTGAAGGGTTACAGCCACATAAACTGTTCAAATGTACTGTAAGCCATGCCACACGTCAAGGCTTCCGCGGAAAACCACATGCTTTTCTTAGAGTACATAGCGAAAAGCAGAGGGTATTTGCATACATAGACATGAATGACCAAGGAGGGAGTTGGGAGTAGGTAACTGTGAAACCACAATCATGATTCATGCCTTACATTCTTCACACAAGACCGTTCCCTACAAGTCATTAGAGTTGAAAGAGTCCAAAGATGTGAACACAGCTGCTGCTAGGTCAAGAAGTGCACCACCTAAACATACGGTACAACACTTTTTACCAACTATTCCGTAAATCACCCACTAATAGTACCACCATACCATAACCACCGTCCCCCATAGAACCGTATTGCTCCCTGCAGAACCGCACCACAAGATGCACCTCAGACCCCTACTAAATAAACTTCATCCCTGCGATTCTAACGTGCCGGGAGACCAAGTACTGAACCACTGCGTACACCACTCCAAGGCACCCAGTGTACCCTGCAGAACCGCACCACACCCTGTAGAATCCTGTCATATAAACGTCATCCCTGCGATTCTAATGTGCCGGAAGACCAGATACTGCACGACAGCATACACCACTGCAAGGCACCCATCCGTCCTTACCGAAGGCAGTTCACCCCCCCCTGTCGGCAGCACGGCAGCAGGCAGACACAACGGTCCACCCAACCTACCCTGTCATATGAACTTCATCCCTGCAATTCGAACCTGCCGTGAAACCAAGTACTGCACCACAGCATACACCACTCCAAGGCACCCGGCCGTCCTTATCGACGGCAGCTCATCCCCTCCCGTCGGCAGCACGGCAGCAGGCAGACACAACGGCCCCAGCACCAGGAGCAGGTAATCCGCGCGCCGCTTATTATCCCACATGAACCGGTTAAACACGTAGTGCATCGGCGCGCAGAGCAGCAGCAGGAGGAGCGACTTCGCGCACTGGAAAAACGCATCGTCCTCTGAGAACCACTCCGTTCCCCAGTAGTAAATCCTGGAATAGGCCTCGGAAAACAGCAGGAGGAAATCTGTGAAGAGGAGATAGGCTGAGAGCACGGCAGTGAGCGGGAAGTAGCGGTGGCGGTCGGTGAAAGAGGAGCCGAGGGTTTGGGAGTCCTGGTTGAGGAGGAGGAGGATGGGGACGAGCAGGAAGATGGCGTGGTTGGCGCTGTCTGTGGTGGCGAACTCAGAGGAGAGCAGGAGCGCGAGGAGGAACGCCAGGATGGTGCTGATGTTGCCCACCAGTGGCATCCAGGACTTGCGCGAGAAGAAGAACGCGAGCAGGTTCAGAGGCCCCGTCTGGGGGGGGCGGGGGAAGGAAAGCACAGGGAGGAACAGCAGGGGGAGGGGAAGGGGGAAGGGGAAGGGGAAGAGGGAGAGAAGGGGGAAGGGGAAGGGGAAGAGGGAGAGAAGGGGGAAGGGAGGGCAGAATTGAGCAATGAAGGAGGAGGATGGGGACGAGCAGGAAGATGGCGCGGTTGGCGCTGTCTGTGGTGGCGAACTCAGAGGAGAGCAGGAGCGCGAGGAGGAACGCCAGGATGGTGCTGATGTTGCCCACGAGAGGCATCCAGGACTTGCGCGAGAAGAAGGACGCCAGCAGGTTCAGAGGGCGCGTCTGGGATGGGGGAGTGGGATGGGGATGAGAAGAGGAGGTGGGGGAACGACAGCGAATAAGCAGTTGCAGCAAGGGCAGATGGGGGAAGGGTGCCCAACAACCCAACTGTACCACTACTACCATTCCCAACGGCTCACCAACCCACCTGCATCGCTCTCAACCCACCTGTATGGCTCTGTGCTTGGGGCCAAACGGAGAGCTCTTGGGCAGAGCCGACTCCCCATTGGTCGACGAACCCTTGCCGCCCACCCCTCCCACTGCCGCCCGGCCACCGCCCACGCCGGCGCCTGCGATTTTGTCCCGTAATGCTGCTGAGAGCTTGAACTTGATGATGAGGGCGGCGAGGAGGAAGAAGGTGCAGTAGATGGCAGAGAGGGAGTTGGCGTAGGTCTGCAGGGGTGGGAAACGGTGGAGGAACAGGGAGGGATATGGAGGGGAGGGGATCAAACAAACAGGGTGGGGAAGGGAGAGCAAGACTTGAACTTGATGCCGAGGGCGGCGAGGAGGAAAAAGGTGCAGAAGATGGCACAGAGGGAGTTGGCGTAGGTCTGGATTGGGGGAGGGGAGGGGAAGGGAGGAGGGGCCAAGAGAGGGAGCAGGGAGCAGGGATGAGGATGGTAAGATGATGCTTTGATTGGTTCAACACAAGGTGCAGTAGAGGGCGCAAGTGGATTGGCATAGGTCTGGTTGCAAAGAGAAACGTTGGGGGAATGGGTAGGGAGAGAGAGGCACCTAACCTTCCATTTGCACCAACTTTCCCTCTCCTTCCAACCACTTCCCACCACTTCTCACCACTTCCCAACATCAAGCGTCCCCCACGTTCCCACCCACCCCAACCCCTCCACTCCTCACCTCCAGCCTTGTTTCCTCGTAGAAATCCGGAACCTCCTCTCCATCCCCATTGTCCACCAAAGTTTCCCGCCCCGGCACCACCCCTACACTATCCTACCCTTCCCACCACTTCCCACCGCGTCTCACCCCTGCCCTATCCCCTTCCCGCTCACCTCCAGCCGTGTTTCCTCGTAGAAATCCGGAACCTCCTCCCCATCCCCATTGTCCACCAAATTCGCCCGCCCCAGCGCCAACCACTGCAGCGGGAATAGCAGGATCTGGGCGGCGAAGAGGGGCGGCATGAGCCGCCCGCTCCAGGCGGTGGGGTGGTGGGTGAGGACGAGGAAGAGGGCGGCGAGGACGGAGGCGGCGAGGAGGAGGAGGCGGCAGAGGAAGGGTGCGAGGGGAATGAACTTGGCTGCGAGGTAGATGCCGGTTGATAGGCCGATGGCCACTGAGTAGATGAGCCGAACGGATTCGACCTGAGCATTTAGGTGGGGAAGAGGGGGAAGGGGAGGGGCAAGAAGCAGGTGAGGATGGGCACGAGGGGAATGAACTTGGCTGCAAGGTAGAGTCCCGTGGATAGACCGATGGCGACCGAGTAGATGAGACGAACGGACTCAACCTGTGCGGGTTGGAAGGGTGGGGGAGAGGGGGAAGGGGGAAGGGGAGGGGAGAAGGCTAGTGAGAAGCGGAGCAAGAAGCAGGTGAGGTTAGGGGTGAGGGGGATGAACTTGGCTGCGAGGTAGAGCCCCGTGGATAGGCTGATGGCAACCGAGTAGATGAGACGAACGGACTCCACCTGGGAGCGGAGAGGCAGGGAAGAGCAGGGAAGAACAGGGAAGCATGGGGATGAACCTGGCTGCGAGGTAGAGTCCCGTGGATAGACCGATGGCGACTGAGTAGATGAGACGAACGGACTCAACCTGGGAGTAAGGGGCAGGGAAGAAACAGAGAATCATACGGAATGGGGAGGTGGGGAAGGGGGGGGAGGCCAAGTAAGAAGAGAAGCAAGAAGCAAGTGAGGATGGGTGCGAGGGGGATGAACTTGGCTGCGAGGTATATGCCGGTTGACCGATGGCGACCGAGTAGATGAGCCTGGGAGTAAGGGGCAGGGAAGGACAAGGAAGAACAGGGAAGCACGGAAATCAAGTTGGCTGCGAGGTAGATTCCGGTGGATAGGCCAATGGCGACTGAGTAGATGAGCCGAACTGACTCCACCTGTGCGGGTTGAGTGGAAGGTGAGGAGAAGAGAGGGGATGGGGGAAGAAGAGAAGGTTGTGAGGCATCAGGAGGGGGGACTGGCACTCCAAGTGTGGCAGCAGCGATTAAGGCTGAGGAAGAGGATTGTGAAAAAGCTGGCGGGGAGAGAGAGAGGAGGATGGAGGCTAGACTGAGAGATTCATTTGATGGACAGACGGGCCGGACAGGCCCCTCCACGCTCTGCCCACTCTGCCCACTCCTGCCCTAACACGCTCACCTTGGCGATCGGAATGGTAGAGAAGAAAGCAGCCAGGGCAGAGACAATCGTCCCCAGAAGCAGCCACACTGGCCAGACAGGCCCCTCCACGCTGAGCCCATAGATGGTGGCGTCGTCTGGATCGTCGTTCAGGACACTCCCTTACTACCCCCTATCTGTCCTCCCATGAAACACTCACCTTGGCGATGGGGATAGCGGAGAAGAATGCTGTCAGGGCAGATACAATGGTTCCCAGCAGCAGCCACACGGGCCAGACAGGCCCCTCGATGCTGAGCCCATAGATGGTGGAGTCATCTGGATCGTCATCAGGGAAGTGGTCCTCATCCCACACCACGTGCCATGCGGGGGGCAGCGGCGGCTGGAGAACTAGGAACAGCAGACAGGTTGCCACAGCCAGAGCTCCCGCCCTCCTCGCTTTCTGCATTCGTAATTGGAGCGTGTGGAATGGGGGGGACGCAGGGGGGATCTGGTCTTTCAGGGAAGTGGTCCTCATCCCACACCACGTGCCATGCGGGGGGCAGCGGCGGCTGGAGAATTAAGAACAGGAGACAGGTTGCCACTGCCAGCGCTCCCGCCCTCCTCGCTTTCTGCAGTATTGAGTGAAGTGCGGGAATGAGGGGGGCGCCGGGGAGAGAGGGTGAGGATCGTCGTCATCCCACACCACGTGTAATGAGGTTATTTTTGAGATGTCTAAAAAAAAAGTGGTCTTCATCTCAGACCACGTGGCATGCGGGGGGGAGCGGCGGCTGGAGAATTAAGAAGAGCAGACACGCTGCCTGACACAGCCAGCGTGTCTCCACGAGGGGGGAGCACTCACGAGGCTGTTGGGGAAGTGCAGAACCCCGCTGGGCAGACAGGCAGCCACTGTGATGAGCCCAAGCGAGCCGAGCCGATGAGCAGCGCGTGCGAGGGCTTGTGACCCGAGGCAGAGACGATGACACAGACACATACAAATACTCACTCACAAGACACAGTAGCACTGAGCACATAGCACAGGGCACTCACGAGGCTGTTGGGGAAGTGCAAAACCCCGATGGGCAGACAGGCAGCCACTGTGATGAGACCCAGCGAGCCAAGCCGATGAGCAGTGCGTGGGAGGGCTTGTGACCCGAGGCAGAGACAATGACACGTACATGCTTGGTTACCAGAAGATGGGGGATGGGGCACAAGCACTCACGAGGCTGTTGGGGAAGTGCAGGGCGCCAATGGGCAGGCATCCAGCAATAGCGATGAGCCCGAGGGAGCCGATGAGAAGAGCGTGGGAGGGCTTGTGACCCGAGGCAGAGACAATGACACGTACATGCTTGGTTACCAGAAGATGGGGGATGGGGCACAAGCACTCACGAGGCTGCTGGGGAAGTGCAGGGCGCCAATGGGCAGGCATCCAGCAATAGCGATGAGCCCGAGGGAGCCGATGAGAAGAGCGTGGGAGGGCTTGTGACCCGAGGCAGAGACGATGACGTCAAAGATGACGTAACGGCAGAAGAGCACTGTGAGGAGCACGAGCGCTGCATGCATCACTGCCATCCATGGCTTCATGCGCGACCCGGGACGAGACTTGTCCCTGTGAGGGGTGGGGGGAGGGGGGTGGAGGCAGGGGGGGCGTGGGGAAAGGGGAGTGGGAGTGGATGTGTGGTTGATTGTGGGATCATGTGCCTGTGTGTGTGCAACAAGGGAGGAAGAGACGATGACGTCGAAGATGACGTAGCGGCAGAAGAGCACTGTGAGGAGCACGAGGGCTGCATGCATCACTGCCATCCATGGCTTCATGCGTGAGCTGGGTCCGGGACGCGCCTTGTCCCTGCGAGAAAAGGGGGGATGGTATATGGGTATATCATGAAACCACGTGATGTGGGGCAGAAGAGCACTGTGAGGAGGACGAGCGCTGCATGCACCACTGCCATCCATGGCTTCATGCGCGACCCGGGGCGCGCCTTGTCCCTGTGCGTGAGGGGAAAGGGACTCCACGGCTTCATGCGCCTTGTCCCTGTGAAAGTGCGCTTGTGTTGTGGGTGGGGGGGTGATTGAGACGTGGGGGGAGGGAGGGGTGAATAATAGGTGACTACTCAAGCCCTGTGACGTCCCATACATAGCATGCACACATGGGTGATACGAGCAAGGGTTATACGAGCATAGGTGGTGCGGAGGTTGATAAGGAAGAAGGGTGGTGAGATGGCGAGCAGCTTCGCCGGTGTACAGGCACATGCCCACCCTTTCCGCCACTCTCTCTCCCACTCAACCGCACTCAGCATGGGTGACTGGCTTAGGCGCCTAAACAAAGAGGATGCGGGCATAGTCGGTGGCTCACTGGTAGAGGAAGAATGGCGGTGAGATTGCAAGAAGCAGCAACTGGCTGCCCAGCAGCAACTGACTCCCCAGCAGCACGCCCTGCCTGGGAATGCACCACCAGCATGGCCAGCTTCGCGAGGTACAGGCACACACCCACCCGCTCCCTCACCCACTCTCATCCACTCAACCACACTAAGCATGAGTGGCTCACTCACTGGTAGAGGAAGAATGGCGGCGAGATTGCAAGAAGCAGCAACTGGCTGCCCAGCAGCACGCCCTGCGAGTGCACCACGAGCATGGGCAGCTTTGCGAGGTACAGACACACGCCCACCCACTCCGCCAATCTGTGAGAGGCTCACTGCTCACTTACTGGTAAAGGAAGAACGGAGGCGAGACGGCAAGCAGCAGCAGCTGAGAGCCTAGAAGAACGCCCTGCGAGTGCACCACGAGCATGGGCAGCTTTGCGAGGTACAGGCACACGCCCACCCACTCCGCCACCCCTCCAATCTTCCCTGCGATCCGCAGCTTGCGCATCGCGACAAACCCCGCCACCGTGGTTGCGAGCACCAGGAAGGCGGGGTACACGCCCCCCTCCGCGTGAGCCTCTCCGTTGTACAGCAGAAACTCCAGCCTGTAGATGTGAAGGGTGGGGAGGAGGAAGGGACAAACTGAGCTTCCGCATCGCGCCAAACCCCGCCACCGTGGTTGCGAGCACGAGGAATGCGGGGTACACGCCCCCCTCCGCGTGAGCCTCTCCGTTGTACAGCAGAAACTCCAGCCTGCGAAAACGTGAGGGCGGGGGAAGGATGGAAGGTAAACAGCGAGCAGGAGGGAAGCACGGGAATGAGGAGTACACGCCCCTCTCAGCAGGCCCCTCCACCTCCTCAGCAAACTCTCCAACCTGGTGGGGGAGGAGGGGAAATTGAGGGTGTGGGGAACAAGAAGGGCGAACGGGTGTCCAATCGTGATGTGGGGAGGGTGGGGGGTGAACATCAAGAGCGGTCGCGACGCGAGGACGAGGAAGGCAGGTAGACACCCCCGTGCGAACTAGGAGAGCCAGCAGCAGGGCGAGGAGCAGCTCCTGGCAGAGGGCCTTGAGGGTCATGCATGCCTGCTGAGAATTCAAAGACAAGTGGTGCGCCTCACCTGCAGAAGAGGAATGCCTGAGCCACCACGATGACCCCCACCACCCGCTGCGACTTCTGGAACAAGGCAGCTAACGGGACGAGGAGACTGAGGAGCAGGGCGAGCAGGATCTCCTGGCAGAGGGCCTTGAGGGTCATGCCTGCTTGCGAAGACTGTAATGAGGGAGGAGGGGACGGCTTGAGCTCACCTGGAGAAGAGAAAAGCCTGCGCCACCACGATGACTCCCACCACTCGCTGGCTCTTCTGGAACAAAGCAGCTCCCGGCACCAGCAGGGCGAGCAGCAGGGCGAGGAGCATCTCCTGGCAGAGGGCCTTGAGGGTCATGCCTGCCCGCGGAAAGAGCTTCTAATACCAGTGAATCTCCCCACCGAACAACCACCTGCAGAGCAGAACACTCACCTGGAAAACAGGAATGCCTGCGCCACCACGATGACCCCCACCACCCGCTGGGACTTTTGAAAGAGCGCTGCTCCCGGGACTAGGAGAGCCAGCAGCAGGGCGAGGAGCATCTCCTGGCAGATGGCCTTGAGGTTCATGCCAGCCTGCGACGACTATAACGAGGGCGAAGTGGACAGCTTGAGCTCACCTGCAGAAGAGAAACGCCTGAGTCACCATGATGACCCCCACCACCCGCTGGCTCTTCTGAAACAAGGCAGCTCCCGGGACTAGGAGAGCGAGCAGCAGGGTGAGGAGCATCTCCTGGCAGAGGGCCTTGAGGGTCATGCCTGCTTGCGAAGACTGTAATGAGGGAGGAGGGGACGGCTTGAGCTCACCTGGAGAAGAGAAAAGCCTGCGCCACCACGATGACTCCCACCACTCGCTGGCTCTTCTGGAACAAAGCAGCTCCCGGCACCAGCAGGGCGAGCAGCAGAGCGAGCAGCATCTCCTGGCAGAGGGCCTTGAGGGTCATGCCTGCGAAGACTATAACGAGGGCGAAGTACTGGTCCATAACGAACCACGCTGCTGCTAGTAACGAGGCTGCTGCAAAGATGAAGTAGGAGGTGATGCTTCCTGTGGAGTAGTAATGGGCGAGGTACGCTGCTGCTATGGCTGGGGCGGGGAGCACCTGGGAGGGACGAAAGTAGAAAGAGAGTCAGAAGAGAGAGTGGCAGAACAGAGGAGGAGAGGGGAACAAGGGAGAGAAAGCGTGTGAGTGTGCTGCAGAGATGAAGTAGGAGGTGATGCTGCCTGTGGAGTAGTAGTGGGCGAGGTAAGCTGCTGCTATGGCTGGGGCGGGGAGCACCTGGGAGGGACGAAAGTAGAAAGAGAGTCAGAAGAGAGAGTGGCAGAACAGAGGAGGAGAGGGGAACAAGGGAGAGAAAGCGTGTGAGTGCGCTGCAGAGATGAAGCAGGAGGTGATACTGCCCGTGGTGTAGTAATGGGCGAGGTAAGAAGCTGCTGTGGCTGGGGCGGGGAGCACCTGAGATGGGGGTCAAGAAAACAGGGAGGCAGAGGGGTAAGAGGTGTCGGAGTCTCTTCCGCTCCTGCCTTTCACCTGCACCCTGTCCCTGCATTACTCTGCTTGCTCCCCTTGTTCCTGCCTTATTGCTCTCAGTCCCCTTCCCCCCCTTTCCGCCTTGCACAGTCATTCCTTCCTCAGCCACTCCCAGCTGTCACTGAATATCATGGTAAGGACATTATATTCTGTAACTGTGCTAACTGGGGTGTAGAAGCAGTGTAGTAATTGTCATTCAATTTGTACACAAAGTAGTTGGGACATTGGGAGGAGCGCGAAGTTGGTAGTATGGGGGATTGCAAGGCGCTGCGGGCACAATTCCAGGGTCCTCGGGAGACAGGAAATCTGGCACGAGGCCAATCCAAGGCCAAGGCGGCTCGAGCCCAACCCATCACGCTGAGTATCTCGCGACTGGGTGGCCTAGCATAAGTAAGCCTAGCCTAGCATAGTACTCTTGTTCTCTCGTTTGTTTACCAGTGCATAGTGGACTTATGTTACCGTTCTAAGCTACAGCAGCCAGGTGACAGACGCCACTCTTGGTAGCCAGCTGTGGGAGCCGAATCTCTCACAAACGAGAGAACAAGAGTACTATGCTAGGCTAGGCTTACTTATGCTAGGCCACCCAGTCGCGAGATACTCAGCGTGATGGGTTGGGCTCGAGCCGCCTTGGCCTTGGATTGGCCTCGTGCCAGATTTCTTGTCTCCCGAGGACCCTGGAATTGTGCCCGCAGCGCCTTGCAATCCCCCATACTACCAACTTCGCGCTCCTCCCAATGTCCCAACTACTTTGTGTACAAACTGAATGACAATTACTACACTGCTTCTACACCCCAGTTAGCACAGTTTCAGAATATAATGTCCTTACCATGATATTCAGTGACAGAGGTGCAGAGGGGACACAGGGGAAAAGGGAGGCTGTACATAAGGTGCAAAGATGAAGTAGGAGGTGATGCTGCCCGTGGAGTAGTAATGGGCGAGGTAAGCTGCTGCTATGGCCGGGGCGGGAAGCACCTGAGATGGAGGGAACGGCAATGACAAAGGAGAACGGGAACAGGTAGGACCAACGACAAGTAAAGGCTCACAATGTTCCCCACCACAAAAAGGCTTACAGTTTCCCCTCACCCAACCTCCCCCCTCTCCTCCTCACCCCCCCAAGGGCTCACCGTGACAGGCATGCCAATCACCAGCGACCCCGCAACAGCAGACACCAGCAGCACGGTCGTCACCACTGCGTACCCCACTGCACCCCTCAGCACACCGATCATGTGCGCGGCGAAGCCAAAACCCCCTCCCTTCCCATCCCCCATAAAGGCCTTACCGTGACAGGCATGCCAATCACGAGCGACCCAGCCACAGCAGACACCAGCAGCACGGTGGTCACCACTGCGGACCGCACTGCACCCCTCAGCACCCCCATCGAAGAACTTACCGTGACAGGCATGCCAATGACAAGCGACCCAGCCACTGCAGACACCAGCAGCACGGTCGTCACCACTGCGGACCCCACTGCACCCCTCAGCACGCCCATCATGTGCGCGGCAAAGCCGAATCCGAGGCCAAAGAGGGCGAGCGTGACGAGCAGGTAGTTGAGGGGCGGCGGGAAGTGAATGTAGTGGCCGTAGGAGGTGAAGATGACGCGGATCTCGAAGCAGATGAGCACGACCGCCAGGGAGAACCCCCCGTTGAGAATTTGAACCTGTTGGGAAGGGGGTTGGGGAGATTAGGGGAAGATGGGGAAGTAGGAGGAGGGCAATGGGCGGGAAGTGGATATAGTGCCGTAAGAGGTAAAAATGACGCGGATCTCGAAGCAGATGAGCACGACCGCCAGGGAGAACCCCCCGTTGAGAATTTGCACCTGTCGGGGTGGGGGTTGGGGAGGGCCGGGATGCAGAGGTTGCGGAGGGTGGGGAGGGGGTTGGGGGACAGTGGGAAGTGGGAAGTGGACGGGGGGAAGTGGGAGGCGGGAAGTGAAATGGGGGGAATGGGCGAAGCGAAGAGGGAGGCATCAAGTGGAACGGGGGAAGTGGGTGGAAGTTTCTGTGGGGCGCAAAAACACCCTCTATACACCTGAGGGGCGGAGGGAAGTGGATGTCGTGGGCGAAGGAGGTGGGCGGAGAAGGTGAAGAAGAGCATCACCAGCATCAAAGTCCTCGTTATTAGGTGCTTCAATAACAATTCCGCTTAGCCGAATGAGCTTGACCTTGTCACTGGTAAGCCAATTCAACGGCCCCCTCGTCGACGCGTACAGCACGAAGAGCACGGGCACAAAGAAGAGCAGCAGCGCACCACATACCCGTTACAAGGCGTTCCTTTATCGAATCCACTCACCCGTTTGAGCTTGGCCTTGTCAGTCGTGAGCCAATTGAGCGCGCCCTTCTTCGACGCGTACAGCACGAAGAGCACGGGCACGAAGAAGAGCAGCAGCGTGTCGCACGCTTCATTCGCCGACTCAAAGATCCTATTATGATGCACCGCCAGATGGAACCCGCACGGCAGGAAAAGCACGAGCATCATGTGAAACAACCCCTCCATCGCTCCGATGATCCACACATCCTGGGCCGACTCCTTGCCTCCGTGCCTGGCCTGCTGCTGCTGCTGCTGCTGCTGTAGCGTGTGCTTGGAGGATTTGAAGGAGGAGGCGCGCGGGAGGGAGAAGAGCCAGTAGAGAGCGAACAGGCACGGCATGAGGTAGAACGGCGCGTGGGCCGCGCCGATGGCGGCGATGAGCCCGTATGTGATTATAGCGATGGCTGTCATGGGCGTGCACGCGAACAGGAGTCGCTCTAACGCGAGGACTACAAACGGGTGCTCGAGCTGCAGCCAGCGGAATTGGAGGGAGACCCAGACGCCGCAGAGGAACACGAGGTGCATCGCCGTGAGGAGGATCAGCACGGAGATTATAACGGGGATGTGCGGCGCGAAGCCGAGGCCGGAGAACGCGAGCGCGGCCGCCGTCGTGAAGAAGGTGCACCAGATGGCGACAAAAGCGCCGTTTTTGAACTGCAGCGCGTCGAGGATGTAGGAGATCATGAGCCCCGCGACGAGTGTGCCTACAACGAGCGGCCCGCCGGCGCCTAGAAGTACCAGCACGCACGGCAGCAGCGCCGTGGCGACGCGCGCGTTGTACTGGAAGCCGTGAGATGCGGCGAAGCGCGCGTCCCCCGAGGAGGGGGTGGCGGGCGCGGAACCGGAAGGCATGGGGATCGGCCGACGCGGAAGCTGCCCCCCCATGGCGGGGGAAGTGTAGGGGGAGGCATAGGGGGACGTGTACGGGGTGTGATATCCCGGTGACCCTTGCGCGTACATGATGGTAACGCCTTGCAAGGATATGAGAGATTCTCAGAGGAGTGACGAAATTTCAAGAAAGTGAGTCACCTGGCCGAGATTATGAGAAATGCTGCCTAACTAAGCGTGATAGTAATGAATCTATGTCAGATACAGACAGATGATGAGGCTGATGCGTCTTTTGAGACGTCTCAAAAGCTGATGCGCCAGGTACAGGTGCACGATCTGGCTTCTAGAAAAAGGAAAGGGAAGCCAAATTTTAGAATCTGTAGTGCACACGAATAGATGCGTGGGGAAAATGCTAGGAGTCGCATCGTCATCGCGCTAAACCCGTCGATCCGACGCGGCTGCTGGCATTTCGACCATCATGGACGCAGGTGCTTCCCCTACAAGATCGAACCTGTGCACTCCAAAGATTGTTACGAAACACCCCACACTACTACTGCGATGACTGAAAGGAAACACCACTATCAGCAACTAGGAGACGAGCTAATGACCAGACTCTAGAACCTGCTACTAAGCGCAACTAGCACATGCAGTAACGCTATGTTCTAGAATCTGACATCTGAGAAGAATCTTGGTCAAATAGGAGACGCAGATCCCCTGCTCCTCCTGTTTTCCAGTTAGCCTTGAAATCATCCAATCCAACCTAGATTTCTCCATCAGCCCACAGCCTGTATAACCGACCAGAACCGAGACGAAACGATATATGAGATTGTAAAGCGGTGGGAGTGCCAAGCCCCAGATCCAGTACAGACGCGTTTGAAGGGATACAAAGAATCCAACGGCTTACAACCGTTCGTTACCAGATCGGACGGTTTAATCGCCTCCGAAGCATACTGAATTTCACCGCTTCGTTATGCTCTACGCTATTTTGAAGGCACAATCACACCTGAACACTTGCATTGTACAACAAAAATGCACTATAAGGAAGTTCATGGACCCTCAAGACAAGCCTGATAGGGTTTCCACAATTCCATGTCAACAACTGAGGTTGGCAAAAACCATACGCCATACATTGCCTGCCTCCATCCAGCTCCCATAAAGAAGCGCCAGGGAGGGTCACGTTTCAATGAGACATCCACTGTAGCCTTCGCAAAATCTTCTGCACTTGTCCCTACAAAGTTGGTTAATGCCCACTCAGCGAGGTGGTTCAGCCGACTCTCGCATGACTTGTATAAGCTGTTGGATGGCAATGGTTTCCTGTTGTGCTGCTCATTGCTGGGGTGAGTAGAAAGCAGGGCATGTGGGACATACGGTATGGCAAAAATACAAGGGAAGAATGCATGAGAAGGTTTATTTCGTGGTGACACCTGGACCAGTGCCAGAGCTGATGCGAGAGGACCATATCGATAAGAGAACGTCACTGCAGCGGCTTTGCTAATAATAAAAAAAAAAAGCGAGGAAAGAGCTACACCACACTGATGTACCCCATCCATCCAAAGCTCATGACCTGCCCTCCCTGCATGTATCACCTGTGTATTTTGGTGTTGATGAATCCCGGCACCGCCAGCATGACACGCACTCCGAAGGGCTTCATCTCCATGCGCATGCAGTTGGTCACTGCGTTCAACGCCGCCTTTGATGCTGAATAGGCTGCTGCCATGGGCCTGTGATGGAGCATGTGATGGGGGTACGGGGGAGGGGGGGGAGGGGGAGGAAAGAAGGGACGTGGTTCATCTCCATGCGCATGCAGTTGGTCACTGCATTCAACTCCGCCTTGGACGTTGAATAGGCTGCTGCCATGGGCCTGTGGCAAGAGGGGGAACGGGGAGGAGGGGAGGGAGAACAGGACGGAAGGGAGGGACGAAGGGAAAAGGTGGGGATGATGGAGAACTATAGAACACTGTGGCATCTCCCAGGGTCTAACCAATGCAGTGCATGGCATGGCATGAAACCCCACTTCTTGTCCTCACAAACTGATGGGGGCACTTAAGCTATCATCTGCATAGTCCTTCCTCTCCGAAACGTGACTCACAGGTGGCAGAAACCCGCGCAGCTGGAGACGTTCACAACGAGCCCCTGCTTCCTCTCGGCCATGCGCGGGAACACGGCCTGGGCCATCGCAACAGCTCCGAGCAGGTTCGTCTCGAACAGCGCGCGCCAATCAGAGAGCGGCGTGTCGGCCAAGGGACGCGTGGCGAGGACAGCAGCGTTGTTGACGAGAACGTCTATTCGCCCGGCTTCCCTCATGATCGTCTCAACTGAATGCTGTGACGGGTTAGGAGAGAGCAAAGGATTTTGAGTGTCGGCCAGGACACGCGGGAGAAGACAGCAGCATTGTTGACGAGCACATCTATTCGCCCGGCTTCCCTCATGATCGTCTCAACTGAATGCTGTCAGAGGTAGGGAGGATCGAGCAGAGAAAACGGAGGTGATTTTTGAGTCGACTATAAGATTTTATTGCCCAACTTCTCTCATGCTTGTCTCAACTGCGGGCTGTCAGGAGCTGAGATTGAGCAGAGAAAATGGTGTGCATAAGCAGGAACTAATGGGAGGATACTATCAGGCAAATTTAATGGAGCCCTAGAATGGTATGAGAGAGTACATGGCCCGACTCAAATTAGTCATCTATCAACGCAGCATTCATAAAGTCTCACTCAACAGTGAACAGGTTAGTACCTGAATATCTCCCTCGTTTGTCACATCCAGCTTCAATATAGTCACCCCCTGCTCCTGTAACCCGCTCATAGCCTCCAATCGGCGCGCAGTCGCGTACACCGTGGCTCCTCGGCGGGCGTACTCCCTGCGATTCATCCGATGAGTCATACAATTCATGACCAATCAGAGCTCATGAGAGTTCATGAGGTGATGTCGGGCGTGCTACTCCCCAGGATTCATCAGCATTCAACAAGCAATCACGACTTTCATCAGGCCTCACCGTATTGGCAATCTATCACACGATCTAAACAAATAAGAATCAATGAGGCGCCTAAAGACGAGAGTACGCCTGAGATTCATAAAGCAATTCTATACCCAATCACGGTTTTCGTCATGGTTCAATTCACTGATTTGGCAAAAACGACTGTCCAAGTCATGACAAGCTTCGGATTGAAGCTTGGTGGCACGCGTGGCGCAAGCAGTTCCGAGACGCTTACACTGCCATTGCGTAACCGATACCGCCCTCGGAACACCCCGTTATAAGCACGACCTTGCCGTCGGCTCTGATCGACCGATGCCGACCAAGAAACGCGCCCATGGCGGAAACTTAGCGGTCAGCTGAGCAGACTGACTACACCGAAAATGAAGCCAGAAGGAACCACTATGAGGAGCAGGGTTGGGTCGCAATGGCTTGTAGAGAAAAGAAACGACCAGCATTATCGTTTCCATCGCCCCGTGTGACCTATGCCAGCGACCGATTGTGGGATGGGAAGTCAAGAACCTCGGATCTCGTCACGGAAGTATTCCAGGCGCTTCCAGAGGATTCCAGCTGCCTCTCTTGGCATGGCACCGCGACGATCTATTGCAGAAATCCACCAACTTCGGTAGTTTATTTCCATAGTGTCATCAATGCTGCTCCTGATGGCCACCCTATTCTGCACAGCTGTATTCACTGCTTATACAGCTGTTATAAGCAATCTCTGCTTCCTCTGCGCACTGTACAGGTGAACTGTACACAGTTTGTAACTGTCACTCTGTCAGCGTGTCAAAAGATGTTTACTGAACTGTAGTGGTTTCGCTGTAACGAACCGAACCCAAACTAGACATTTGCGCTCTGTCACGCCAGACAACGCACTTCACCGCATGCAAGCAAGATAGGCTTCTGCATATCTTTCTTCCGCATGCATTCGTTGTTGCGCTCGGCGTGAGCAATCACCTGACCTGAACACATGCAGGGAGAATCGCAATGCGAATTTGCACGTGGATCTGCAGGTAGTGGGGGGGAGGGACGAACGCAAACTAGTGTATAAATACTCGGTAAGGAAACTAGTGTATACACACTCGTCTGGGTGTATAGAATTTCAAAAGAATCGTTACGGTAATACCGGAGCACCGACTTCGCCTTCACATTCCCGTGTTACAGCTCTCCTGATCAACGAAACATCAATGACGCGTTCGCAGATTCAACCAGCTGGCAATTTGAGCTCTATGCGACTCTGGCGACGTCTTACGAAGATTCTCCTGTCATTCTTCGCCAGCTGGCACCCTGCCGTCAATCCCCATGAACTCTGTTGTTTTACTGGCTGGTCAGAGCACTCTCTGTAGCACACCTGGAAACTGCTAGCGCTACACACTTACACCTGTGTAACATTTGTAACTTAATCCATTTCTTTGTTGTAATGTTCACAACACGCAGCCAGTCATTCCCATTCAACTGGTCAGGAGTTTCTTTTTGTGCAGAGGTAGCTCCATCATCCATAATGAACTCAGGGTGGATTCCTCACTTCGTGTCGTCCGGTCTTCATGTCATCCGAAATTGTGGGATCCAATCGTAAAACCAGAAGCTCAAATTGAGGGTTTTCCGATTCGATCCCACAATTTCGGATGACATGAAGACCGGATGACATGAAGTCAAGAATCTTCCCTAAAATTAGACGACAGCAAAGGCTAGTACCGTCCGACCTTGATTGTGTGTATTTTTGTCGTGTTTTTTCTGCTTGATGTCCGCTCTTATCTAGTATCGCAGCGGTTCGCCGCTGTGGCGGCGGAAGCAGGCATGCGCAGTGGGGAAGGCGCTGACGGGTGGCGTGGGGAAAGCGCGGCGATGGCCAGAACGGATAGCGAAACGGGTGGTGCTGGTAACAGGGGTTTCGTCAGAAATGTGGCTAAACAAGACCCACGATTGCTCCTAGAAAAGCTTGACACGCCCACATTGGTACGCTTTACTAGGCACCAACAGTGCAATCAGCTTAGTAAATACGAGTTTTTAAGGTTCCTGCTAAGCGGTTTTGGGGGAATTCACAGCATATATAAAATTTCACACTTTTCTTTGTCTCCCCCCTCCGTCCCGGCCAATCAGGTGGCGCCAGAACTCGAACTCGGCCCTAAGAACCGCATAGGCGCGTACCTGAAGACACTCGAAAAGCTATCCGACGCGCTGCGGTTCTTCGAAGCGCACAAATATCTGGGCAGCTGCCGATTGGAGCTGCGGCAGGGAAGAGCGCTGATGGACGTTGCTGTGGGGCGACTCGGAGAGGAGTTTGGGGAGGTGCTGTGCGGTGGAAGGTGGGCTGAGGGAGATGCTGTGCGGTTGAAGGTTGGCTGGGGGAGGTGCAGCGCGGTGCAAGGTGGGCTGAGATGGGAGGTATTATCTGGTGCGAGGTGGGCTGAGGGAGAGGCTACGCCTCCACGTTGTTTGTAGATTCTCTTAGAAAATCCTCCATCCCCGCCCCACCTGCCTCTCCTCCCTAAACCACAGCATAATACGGTATACCCAATCGGCGGTATCTGCTTCTTTTGCTGACTCTCCTTGAAACTCCTCCACCCCCACCCTCACCCCACCTTCCCCTCCTTCCCACCCACAGCATAATACCGGATCGGGAATATCTGCTCCAATCAGCAGCAGGCGAAAAGTTTTTTCGAGTCGACTAAAAAATCGCCCCACCCCACTTGCCTCTCCTCTACTCTCCTCCCCACCCACAGCATAATTCCGGATCGGGAATATCTGCTCCAATCAGCCGCAGGCAAGATGCCTGGTGAGGTGCTGCCGTCCGTGCCTCTGCTTCGGTCCGAGGCTGTGACGCAGCTTCGGCCCATGGCTGCTTGGATGCTGGACAATGGATATGAGTCCGCGTGCCTCTCGCTCTACGAGTAAGATTCGATTGACCCTAAACCCACGATTCGATTGCCCTTCACGATTCGATTGCCCTCCACGATTCGATTGCCCTCCACAATTCGATTGCCCTCCACGATTCGATTGCCCTTCACTGTACGAGTAAGATCTGATTGTCCTTCAAAGAACGTGTAAGATTCGATTGCACTTCATTGTATGAGTAAGGTTTGATTTTTTCTTCATCCCCTCCTCTCATCCCCTCCCTCCTCTCCCCCACAGGCAGCACCGCTCGGCTGCTCTCCTGCTGTGCGTCACAGGACTAAGCAGCAGCACAGCAGCATTGCAACCCTATGAGGTGGCAAGCAACTCAAGTAACAATTCCCTCACCTTCACCCCCTCTCCTCCCCCCAACCTTCACCTCCCCTCGCTCCCCCACAGGCAGCACCGCTCGGCTGCTCTCCTGCAGTGCGTAACGCGACTCAGTGGTGGCAGCGCAGCAGCATTGGGATCCGACGAGGTGGCTGCGCTGGCATGGGAAGAGCGAGATCCCCTCTTGAAACTATGGGTGCATAACGTGAGCCATAGAATAGAAGCGCTGACTGCGATAGCCCCCAAGTCAAACCTGCAGCGTTGGGACCCGATGAGGTGGCAGCACTGGCATGGGAGGAGCGAGATCCCCTCTTGAAACTATGGGTGCATAACGTGGGTTCTGATTTTGACACGTCTCAAAACCCATATTGTGGGTTTTGAGGCTTGTTCTGAGGCGCCTCAAAGACAATGGATGCATGCATGCATGCATACATACATGCATACATACATACATACATACATACATACATACATACATACATACATACATACATACATACATACATACATACATACATACATACATACATACATACATACATACATACATACATACATACATAAATACATCCATACATACATACATACATACATACATACATACATACATACATACATACATACATACATACATACATACATACATACATACATATACATATTTACATAAGAAAAATCAGAATTACCTTTGTCATTTGGCACCAAAAAGGCGGAAACAAAGACCTCCTGTTGCCTGCATGTGGTAGATTCAGAAACTACCCTCCTCATCTGGCTCACTTAATTTGAGTCGACTCAAATATTACCCTCCCCATCGGGCTCACCTTGTCGTCCTGACAGGTGCTGGTTCTGGTTGGTCCAGAGACAGAGCTGTTCCGGGCCATTATCGGGCAGAATCAACCGTCTTCCAACAAGGCTCGAGCGCGGTGCCTTGCAGGCGTGGTGCTGCCCTCTCTGACGCTCCTGCACTCCTTTGCCTGCGTGGTAGCGGGGTTGTGTTGGGACCCACAGCACCTGTTCCCGCTGCTGCATGTGGTGCAGGCTCTGCTGACGCTGAGACCAACGGTGAGAGGGTGGATGTGGGTGGATTGGGGTGGAGGGGAAGGGTGGTGAGAACCATAATACCCTAGCGGGGTTGTGTTGGCACCCGCAGCACCTGTTCCCGCTGCTGCATGTGGTGCAGGCTCTGCTGACGCTGAGACCAACGGTGAGTGGGAGGGAGGGGAGGGTGGGCGGGTGGGTGGGTGGATGGTTGGGTGTGTGGATGGGTGGGTGGGCGGATGGTTGGGTGTGTGGATGGGTGGGTGGGCGGATGGTTGGGTGTGTGGATGGGTGGGTGGGCGGATGGTTGGGTGTGTGGATGGGTGGGTGGGCGGATGGTTGGGTGTGTGGATGGGTGGGTGGATGAGTGGGTAGCTTCCATACCTCACCATACCTACCCATACCTCACCATACCTCACTATAACTCGCCGTTCCGCACCATAACACACCATACCGCACCATACTTCGTCATACCCCACCATACCCCACCATACCTCACCAACTGTCGCATTTCTTTTTTGACAGGAAACACGGCAGAGTCAGGGCAAGAGGTGCGGCGCCTCTTCCTCCTCATCTGCTCCTCCCAACCTCACCATACCTCACCATACCTCACCACACCTCACCATAACCAATGCCGCATTTCCCCTGTGGCAGGTAGAGGAACAGTTCCCAGGGGAGGCAGGGCAGGAGGTGCGACGCCTCTTCCTCCTCATCTGCTCCTCCCTCTGCACCGCCGTGCGTCGGACCATCTCCGACTTCCAACTCAGAGTGCATTTCAACCCCACACAACCCCTCACCACCCCTCCCTCCCCAGCAAAACAACCCCGCAACCTCCCCTCCTCCCTCTCCCGCTTCTCTTCCTCCTCCTCCACCTCCCTCATCCCCCCCCCTCCTCTGTTTGATCTCTCTCCGACGCGGGAAAGCCGGGATGCTCTGAGTGCTCTTAAAGCCAGCCCGGATGTGCTTCCTCTCACGAGCTACCTGGTCAACTTCGTCATCCTCTGCTTGGACCCGTGAGTGCATCGATTCGAAGGTGTGAGGTGCTGGTCTAGTCTGCCTGCCAACCTTAGAGATCCGAAACCCTATGCTCCCCCTTATGCTCTTAAAGCCAGTCCAGATGTGCTTCCTCTCACGAGCTACCTGGTCAACTTCGCCATTCTCTGCTTGGACCCGTGAGTGCATCGATTCGAAGGTGTGAGGTGCTGGTCTAGTCTGCCTGCCAACCTTAGAGATCCGAAACCCTATGCTCCCCCTTATGCTCTTAAAGCCAGTCCAGATGTGCTTCCTCTCACGAGCTACCTGGTCAACTTCGCCATTCTCTGCTTGGACCCGTGAGTGCATCGATTCGAAGGTGTGAGGTGCTGGTCTAGTCTGCCTGCCAACCTTAGAGATCCGAAACCCTATGCTCCCCCTTATGCTCTTAAAGCCAGTCCAGATGTGCTTCCTCTCACGAGCTACCTGGTCAACTTCGCCATTCTCTGCTTGGACCCGTGAGTGCATCGATTCGAAGGTGTGAGGTGCTGGTCTAGTCTGCCTGCCAACCTTAGAGATCCGAAACCCTATGCTCCCCCTTATGCTCTTAAAGCCAGTCCAGATGTGCTTCCTCTCACGAGCTACCTGGTCAACTTCGCCATTCTCTGCTTGGACCCGTGAGTGCATCGATTCGAAGGTGTGAGGTGCTGGTCTAGTCTGCCTGCCAACCTTAGAGATCCGAAACCCTATGCTCCCCCTTATGCTCTTAAAGCCAGTCCAGATGTGCTTCCTCTCACGAGCTACCTGGTCAACTTCGCCATTCTCTGCTTGGACCCGTGAGTGCATCGATTCGAAGGTGTGAGGTGCTGGTCTAGTCTGCCTGCCAACCTTAGAGATCCGAAACCCTATGCTCCCCCTTATGCTCTTAAAGCCAGTCCAGATGTGCTTCCTCTCACGAGCTACCTGGTCAACTTCGCCATTCTCTGCTTGGACCCGTGAGTGCATCGATTCGAAGGTGTGAGGTGCTGGTCTAGTCTGCCTGCCAACCTTAGAGATCCGAAACCCTATGCTCCCCCTTATGCTCTTAAAGCCAGTCCAGATGTGCTTCCTCTCACGAGCTACCTGGTCAACTTCGCCATTCTCTGCTTGGACCCGTGAGTGCATCGATTCGAAGGTGTGAGGTGCTGGTCTAGTCTGCCTGCCAACCTTAGAGATCCGAAACCCTATGCTCCCCCTTATGCTCTTAAAGCCAGTCCAGATGTGCTTCCTCTCACGAGCTACCTGGTCAACTTCGCCATTCTCTGCTTGGACCCGTGAGTGCATCGATTCGAAGGTGTGAGGTGCTGGTCTAGTCTGCCTGCCAACCTTAGAGATCCGAAACCCTATGCTCCCCCTTATGCTCTTAAAGCCAGTCCAGATGTGCTTCCTCTCACGAGCTACCTGGTCAACTTCGCCATTCTCTGCTTGGACCCGTGAGTGCATCGATTCGAAGGTGTGAGGTGCTGGTCTAGTCTGCCTGCCAACCTTAGAGATCCGAAACCCTATGCTCCCCCTTATGCTCTTAAAGCCAGTCCAGATGTGCTTCCTCTCACGAGCTACCTGGTCAACTTCGCCATTCTCTGCTTGGACCCGTGAGTGCATCGATTCGAAGGTGTGAGGTGCTGGTCTAGTCTGCCTGCCAACCTTAGAGATCCGAAACCCTATGCTCCCCCTTATGCTCTTAAAGCCAGTCCAGATGTGCTTCCTCTCACGAGCTACCTGGTCAACTTCGCCATTCTCTGCTTGGACCCGTGAGTGCATCGATTCGAAGGTGTGAGGTGCTGGTCTAGTCTGCCTGCCAACCTTAGAGATCCGAAACCCTATGCTCCCCCTTATGCTCTTAAAGCCAGTCCAGATGTGCTTCCTCTCACGAGCTACCTGGTCAACTTCGCCATTCTCTGCTTGGACCCGTGAGTGCATCGATTCGAAGGTGTGAGGTGCTGGTCTAGTCTGCCTGCCAACCTTAGAGATCCGAAACCCTATGCTCCCCCTTATGCTCTTAAAGCCAGTCCAGATGTGCTTCCTCTCACGAGCTACCTGGTCAACTTCGCCATTCTCTGCTTGGACCCGTGAGTGCATCGATTCGAAGGTGTGAGGTGCTGGTCTAGTCTGCCTGCCAACCTTAGAGATCCGAAACCCTATGCTCCCCCTTATGCTCTTAAAGCCAGTCCAGATGTGCTTCCTCTCACGAGCTACCTGGTCAACTTCGCCATTCTCTGCTTGGACCCGTGAGTGCATCGATTCGAAGGTGTGAGGTGCTGGTCTAGTCTGCCTGCCAACCTTAGAGATCCGAAACCCTATGCTCCCCCTTATGCTCTTAAAGCCAGTCCAGATGTGCTTCCTCTCACGAGCTACCTGGTCAACTTCGCCATTCTCTGCTTGGACCCGTGAGTGCATCGATTCGAAGGTGTGAGGTGCTGGTCTAGTCTGCCTGCCAACCTTAGAGATCCGAAACCCTATGCTCCCCCTTATGCTCTTAAAGCCAGTCCAGATGTGCTTCCTCTCACGAGCTACCTGGTCAACTTCGCCATTCTCGGCTTGGACCCGTGAGTGCATCGATTCGAAGGTGTGAGGTGCTGGTCTAGTCTGCCTGCCAACCTTAGAGATCCGAAACCCTATGCTCCCCCTTATGCTCTTAAAGCCAGTCCAGATGTGCTTCCTCTCACGAGCTACCTGGTCAACTTCGCCATTCTCTGCTTGGACCCGTGAGTGCATCGATTCGAAGGTGTGAGGTGCTGGTCTAGTCTGCCTGCCAACCTTAGAGATCCGAAACCCTATGCTCCCCCTTATGCTCTTAAAGCCAGTCCAGATGTGCTTCCTCTCACGAGCTACCTGGTCAACTTCGCCATTCTCTGCTTGGACCCGTGAGTGCATCGATTCGAAGGTGTGAGGTGCTGGTCTAGTCTGCCTGCCAACCTTAGAGATCCGAAACCCTATGCTCCCCCTTATGCTCTTAAAGCCAGTCCAGATGTGCTTCCTCTCACGAGCTACCTGGTCAACTTCGCCATTCTCTGCTTGGACCCGTGAGTGCATCGATTCGAAGGTGTGAGGTGCTGGTCTAGTCTGCCTGCCAACCTTAGAGATCCGAAACCCTATGCTCCCCCTTATGCTCTTAAAGCCAGTCCAGATGTGCTTCCTCTCACGAGCTACCTGGTCAACTTCGCCATTCTCTGCTTGGACCCGTGAGTGCATCGATTCGAAGGTGTGAGGTGCTGGTCTAGTCTGCCTGCCAACCTTAGAGATCCGAAACCCTATGCTCCCCCTTATGCTCTTAAAGCCAGTCCAGATGTGCTTCCTCTCACGAGCTACCTGGTCAACTTCGCCATTCTCTGCTTGGACCCGTGAGTGCATCGATTCGAAGGTGTGAGGTGCTGGTCTAGTCTGCCTGCCAACCTTAGAGATCCGAAACCCTATGCTCCCCCTTATGCTCTTAAAGCCAGTCCAGATGTGCTTCCTCTCACGAGCTACCTGGTCAACTTCGCCATTCTCTGCTTGGACCCGTGAGTGCATCGATTCGAAGGTGTGAGGTGCTGGTCTAGTCTGCCTGCCAACCTTAGAGATCCGAAACCCTATGCTCCCCCTTATGCTCTTAAAGCCAGTCCAGATGTGCTTCCTCTCACGAGCTACCTGGTCAACTTCGCCATTCTCTGCTTGGACCCGTGAGTGCATCGATTCGAAGGTGTGAGGTGCTGGTCTAGTCTGCCTGCCAACCTTAGAGATCCGAAACCCTATGCTCCCCCTTATGCTCTTAAAGCCAGTCCAGATGTGCTTCCTCTCACGAGCTACCTGGTCAACTTCGCCATTCTCTGCTTGGACCCGTGAGTGCATCGATTCGAAGGTGTGAGGTGCTGGTCTAGTCTGCCTGCCAACCTTAGAGATCCGAAACCCTATGCTCCCCCTTATGCTCTTAAAGCCAGTCCAGATGTGCTTCCTCTCACGAGCTACCTGGTCAACTTCGCCATTCTCTGCTTGGACCCGTGAGTGCATCGATTCGAAGGTGTGAGGTGCTGGTCTAGTCTGCCTGCCAACCTTAGAGATCCGAAACCCTATGCTCCCCCTTATGCTCTTAAAGCCAGTCCAGATGTGCTTCCTCTCACGAGCTACCTGGTCAACTTCGCCATTCTCTGCTTGGACCCGTGAGTGCATCGATTCGAAGGTGTGAGGTGCTGGTCTAGTCTGCCTGCCAACCTTAGAGATCCGAAACCCTATGCTCCCCCTTATGCTCTTAAAGCCAGTCCAGATGTGCTTCCTCTCACGAGCTACCTGGTCAACTTCGCCATTCTCTGCTTGGACCCGTGAGTGCATCGATTCGAAGGTGTGAGGTGCTGGTCTAGTCTGCCTGCCAACCTTAGAGATCCGAAACCCTATGCTCCCCCTTATGCTCTTAAAGCCAGTCCAGATGTGCTTCCTCTCACGAGCTACCTGGTCAACTTCGCCATTCTCTGCTTGGACCCGTGAGTGCATCGATTCGAAGGTGTGAGGTGCTGGTCTAGTCTGCCTGCCAACCTTAGAGATCCGAAACCCTATGCTCCCCCTTATGCTCTTAAAGCCAGTCCAGATGTGCTTCCTCTCACGAGCTACCTGGTCAACTTCGCCATTCTCTGCTTGGACCCGTGAGTGCATCGATTCGAAGGTGTGAGGTGCTGGTCTAGTCTGCCTGCCAACCTTAGAGATCCGAAACCCTATGCTCCCCCTTATGCTCTTAAAGCCAGTCCAGATGTGCTTCCTCTCACGAGCTACCTGGTCAACTTCGCCATTCTCTGCTTGGACCCGTGAGTGCATCGATTCGAAGGTGTGAGGTGCTGGTCTAGTCTGCCTGCCAACCTTAGAGATCCGAAACCCTATGCTCCCCCTTATGCTCTTAAAGCCAGTCCAGATGTGCTTCCTCTCACGAGCTACCTGGTCAACTTCGCCATTCTCTGCTTGGACCCGTGAGTGCATCGATTCGAAGGTGTGAGGTGCTGGTCTAGTCTGCCTGCCAACCTTAGAGATCCGAAACCCT